AGTGCCTGGACTAGCACCAGCGCCAGTCCAGGCAATTGGCAAGTGCCCTTGTTTACAATGTTTCCGATGACCTCTGCATCGTTTGAAATGCGTTGCTGCCTTGGCTAATTTACATTTCGTGCAAAAATGCAAGGCATAGGCATTTATTTACTAAAGAGATGCAAGTTCAGTAGTACCTGGATTATCTGTCGGCTGTTGATGCTGAATTTTGTTCTGAGAATGTTTCAGAGAACGTAAATATAGGAACCTAAAATTAAATTTGTTATGCGTGTCTAGTCAATTTATTTTACAGCTATTAAATGTTTTTGCGTTTTGGAGTTTGTTGCGAATTAGGGCGGCCTTGTTACTTATTTTCAGTTTTACGTTTCGTGGCAGCTCTCGTGCACGTTTAGTTTCCCGCAGTTGTTTATGTTTGCATTTTTTCATGCGAGTTGCCATAATTTATGCTTGTGTATTTTTCTTTTATTAATTAATGAATTTTAAGAGTGGTTGCGACCGGCACTTGCGAGATGTTTGAGTTACTCGTAAAACATATCACATTCAAGTGCGGTATTTTATTTCCAGTACGTTATTATTTGCTGATTTATTTTTGAAATTAGGAAAAGCGTTACTATGAATTGAATTACGAAATGCGTTGAAGTCCGAAACTTCAGGCGTCAAATTTTCACCATATTAATGTACTGAGTTGAGCTACTGCGTAGTACAGATGAAAATTTCTGAGTGAGTTTGGCGAGTTGGAGAACGTCGTTACCGTCGTTATGATTTACACGCGATGCTGAACTTGATGTTTGCAGTCTCATTAATAATATATTAACCAACTTGAAAGTATAGCAGAACGTTAGCAAAAGTTATGAATGCAATGCTGCGACAAACTTCTTTTTAATTTTATCTATCATAATGATTTATTCAACGAATAGATGATCTGGTTCACGTCTGGAACATTTGTTAAGGCTTGAATAAATTCAGTAGCGATTGAATTGAACTGCTCACGAGCTTGGCAACAACAAGGCTTGGAGTCTCTCATTTCTTTGTTTGTACCTTCCCTAACTTTGATACGGAGTTTAAACCTTTTGAAACTTATCGAGCTGCCTCATTAATAAATTCAGAATGGTATTTCACACGTCGGCTTTGAAACTATATGAAGATTTATTAATTTTGATCTATGCCATCAAATCAATACTGTTGGCTGGAAAGTTTTCCGGACTGAACCGTTAATTTAAATTGAGGATATATTAAATGTAGAATACTATCAAATACCGATTATTCTCGTTGCCCTAGTCGTGGAAAAGTCAAGTATTGTTTGTAAAGTGAGGTAAATTTCGCAACTACGACTAGTTATAACTTACCTGCATTGAAACAGCCATCGAGTAATTCGCTTGCAATGAATAAATGGGGAGCGCAGCCCTGCACCTCCAATTTTGTGCACAAATAAGCCCTGAATCGAACGCCTTGGATCTCTCCGGACATCCACCAATCAGCCGTGAACCACTCGGCTTTGTCTTCCTCCGGCCTCACATAGAACCTGCCGTGCACCACCAGGCCGCGGATCGAATCTGACTTTCGGGCATCTTTAAATTACGTAATTTTACATTCACCGCGTCTGAGGCTAGGTTTCAGATAGCATAGTTCTGTTCCAAAATTTATCGTCTTTCGACAAGTGGCCGTTCGACCGAGGGCTGGTTCGACCCACGGCCTAGATACGGACGGCTTGAAGTGTTGAAGGCTACGTTCCGGAAGGCAGGAATCATGATGGTCCATTACATCCAGGGCAGTGGTGGTCTTCGGCAGGCGACCCAAATAAATGCCCAGTTTGCACTGCCTTTTACATCTTCAGTATTTCAGTACGAATGATATTTTCACTGTAATATTTAAAGGCAAATGAATCGCTTGCTCTGCCTTTTTGATCGTCAGCATTTCAGTACGAATGATATTTTCACTGTAATATTTAGAGGCAAATGAAGCGTAAATATCGTCATTTATTTGAAACGATTGTTTGGCTGGTCAAATTCCAAATTAAAACCGCATGTACCGAAAAAATATTTAACAAAACAAACACAAACGCTTCTAAACCGCAGTTTAGTGAAGCATTCACGTAACTTGATTTTTAAATATATTCAAAAAAATAATTTCTCCATATCTCTCGATTGTGTCGGTATGCTAATCACTCGATTGTGTCGGTATGCTAATTACTCGATTGTGTCGGTATGCTAATCACTCGATTGTGTCGATATGCTAATCACTCGATTGTGTCAGTATGCTAATCACTCGATTGTGTCGGTATGCTAATCACTCGATTGTGTCGGTATGCTAATCACTCGATTGTGTCGGTATGCTAATCACTCGATTGTGACGGTATGCTAATCACTCGATTGTGTCGGTATGCTAGTCACTCGATTGTGTCGGTATGCTAGTCACTCGATTGTGACGGTATATGTTCAATAAACTTTACTCTTTCGACTATCGTGCGTCCATTATTCTTAATGTGTGAATTTCCAGGGGCTATAAAGAATAAAGGGTAGTGTGGTAATGAATATTTTACACGTAATTGAGTGCTACTTTTGTGAGGAGACGATGATAAATTCAAACGTAATTTACGTGAACAAACACGCACATTAATTGTTGTTTTGTAAGTGTTATTCTTCTAAAACTATCAATTATGCATGCCATAAAAATGCAGCGCTTGTCATACAGAAGCAGGTGTCAGTGCCAGCGTTAGAGTTGAATTACCCGAATAGTCGTAAATTTCCCCTTCTATGTATGACGTTAAATTACATTTCAGATTACACCAAGAAGTTGTTTCGCTGACAGCTTTTTCAGCCATAATTAAATATACGCGATTAATTTCTTACGTTCTGACAAATTTCAGCGTGCCATGTTGACTCTTGCATTGAAGTCTAAAGCTCAGAACACTGACGCTACGAAATAATGTAGTGCGTGTGGTGCGATGTGTTTTGCATCTTGTTAACTGTACCCTGCCTTATATTTCCAGAGTGCCACTTCGTTTCCTCAGTATGCCAATTTATATACACTCAGTATGCTATTCTCAGTTTCCCTCTACGTATGTATTCGGCACGTATACATGACGTGTACCCTGCTCGAGATTTACTCGGCATGTGCTCAGTGTATACTCGACGCGAGCCCAGCGTGTGTTCTGTGTGTGTCCCAGCGTGTTCCTGACGTAAGACCGATGTGTTGTTGACGTGTGCTTCACGCAAGCTTAACGTGTGCCCCACGTGTTTCAGAAGTGTTCCTGATGTGTTGTTTCTGGCGCATGCCCGACACGTACCAGACTTGTTCTTGACGTGTTGCAATCTTGTTGCTGACGTGTCCATATAACATGCGTTACCACCGTCCCCCAGGCTGAGGCTGCGAGTGGCTCTCTCTTCGTGGAGTGATTGCTGGAGCGGCAGTCTTCAGCGGCCTGCCTCTTGTCATGCCCATAGGACCTCCCAGCCAAGGGGGTAGTGGGCTCCTCCCTCCCCACTACCTCAGTGACCAACCCCAACGAGCTGGTGGTCGTCAGCAGCTGCCTTTACCCCGGGAACCCAACGCTGACGTTACCACCGCCTACAACAGCAGCAACACCAGCACCGGCTACAGTAACACCACTAGTGGCGATGACACCACCACCACCACCACGCCACCCTCATTTGACCCCTCAGGGGGCCTGTCCCCGAGTGCCCCCTTACCCCGCTGTGTGCACGGGCGCCCTCTGCCCCCCGTGACAGAGGCTGGTCTCCCTGCAGTGCCATCCGGTAAGCGCTTCTGCCCTTCACTCGCCTCATTTACCTCAATATTTAACAACAAATAATTCGATGTTCTTTATCAGTTTATTTTTCGTCGTTAAATTTATATGCCTTTGTATCCAAACTAAAAAATATTTACTCAATATTAACGGCTAATTATTCGATGTTCTTTATCAATTTATTTTTCGTCGTTAAATTTGTATGCCTATAAAGGCGCTATGCCGGTACACTTATGAATAAAGGCGCTATACCGGTACACTTAAAAATAAAGGTGCTATACTTATAAATACCGAAAGGTGCCATATAAATAACGGGCTATACGGGAATAAAGGTGCTATTCGCGCTTGATTTATTGGTCGTATTTACACCTTCAGACATAAGGTCCATATAAAATTGACTATGATAATCATTACGTTCGAGTGCTGATGGAGTGATGCTGCTTCTAATTTTGTGATGTATGCGTTTGTTTATGAACGTTTAAATGTTTTTTCACTTTATCATAATTTGCTGTTGTTATTATACGTCGACCGCTAAGACTATTTTCCATGTGTTGTAAGGCTCGAGTGAAAAGTGCTAACTCATAACTCTTATTTTAATTAAACTCTCACGTGGTCTTTAAAAGCCGTTATTGCGAAAAAGCAAGCGCATGGCGGGAGTAACTTTTGCAGTTTTATATAGCTGTGAAATTTGCCTCGAGAGCGCAAATTTAGCTGACAAACGAATTTAATTGCTAATTTAATAAATTTGATTTAATTTAATACGAATTTAATTGCTATCCGGAAACGCTATTAAACAAATCCGATTTGCTTCATGCAGAAATAATTAGCTTTGAAACTGACAATTACAAAATTATAAAGAGTTTTTTTCGTGCACTTCCACAATGCAAGTCTAATTATCGTAACTATATTTAAATGATTTTGTTTGTACCATTACTTTCTAGATGTTATATTCGAAGAAATTATTTTCTTCACTATCAAATTGAGAATATATTGCACTTCCACAATGTAAGTCTAATTACCATGACTGAATTCAACAGAATTTTTTTTTTTGTACAGTTGTTTTTTGTTTGTATTTGATGATATTTCGATATACATTTTGATGATATATTTTTTTTTGTACAGCAAATGGTGTAGGAATGTGATGACATTTTTGCTGTCGATCATATTTTGATGATATTTGATATTTTATGATATTTCGACATACATTTTGATGATATATATTTTTTTGTTTGTACAGCAAATGGTAACGGGCGCGATGGTGTGCAGCTTCATACACCGACAGCTGCGCCTGCCGCTGCTGGTGAGACTTGTTCCTCAGCTATACGAATAATAATACAGGCTCTTATACATGAAATATCCTCTCAATATAACTTCAAGTATTGCACCTCAGCTCTACGAATAATAATACAGGCTCTTATAAATGAAATATCATCGCAATATAACTTCAAGTAACAAGAAAAACCGCAATCAGCTCTGCTTGCCATGAATAATCTAGCTCTAAAATTTGTCTATTATGACTTGTCCATTAATTGTAGTACATTGAAGTAATATCAGCTGTAGACATAACCAAATATTGGTACAGTTAGGCAGAAATTCTTCATTTATGCGAGATTTTTTGTAAATTATTACTAAACGAAGAAGAAAATTATTAATAAAAAAGCATATGCCCTTGCCAGCGATCAAAGTTGCACTATTATATATATGGTTGTAACGAGTGCAAGTTGCTGCGTGCCACTAATAGAATAGAATAGAATAGAATAGAAGTGTCGGCGCTGAAGTAATAGGCCCATGGCCTGTTGCCAATTCTTGAACTTTTCGTGACTTGATTCACAAGGGATCCGGTCTTTGGAACCCGATCTTTCCATAACTGACGATTGATTGAGATAGCTGCTGGACTTATTGCCTGGTCCGTAATTTGCTAGGCATTTTAAGACTGAACATATGCTCCGGCATAGCTTCGTCTGGACTTATTGCCTGGTCCGTAATTTGCTAGGCATTTTAAGACTGAACATATGCTCCTGCATAGCTTCGTCTAGTCTGTTCTTCAATGCAGTGTCATTGCACAGATCAAGCTGTGCGGTTGTCTGTGCCACTAATGCACTGTGTCATTGTACAGATCAAGCTGTGCGGTTGTCTGTGCCTGGTATGCGCAGTACTGTGCGTGGTGGTGACCGTGACCACGACTGTACTCCACATGAACCGTCTCCAGACGCTGCATGAGTGCGAATACCTGCCTGATGCCGCGTCCTGTACCTGTACGCCCTACGCAGGCATCGCAGGCCCTGGACAACACAGTGCGTATACACTTGTATATTAACACATCTTATTATTATTAACACTTGTATATTAACACAGCTTATTATTGTTAACACTTGTATATTAACACAGCTTAGTATTGTTATACTACGCGGTGTAGCGTCCTGTACCTGTACGCCCTACGCAGGCATCGCTGGGCCTGGACAACACAGTGCGTATACACTTGTATATTAACACAGCTTATTATTATTAACACTTGTATATTAACACAGCTTATTATTGTTAACACTTGTATATTAACACAGCTTATTATTGTTATACAACGCGGTGTAGCGTCCTGTACCTGTACGCCCTACGCAGGCATCGCAGGGCCTGGACAGCACAGTGCGTATACACTTGTATATTAACACAGCTTTGTATTATTATACTTATCATTATAAGTTACACTTATTAGCAATGGTGCTCCAGCAGTACACTTGTAACTTGATATCAAGACAGCTTATTATTATATAAGGGATTATAAAGTAACATTATTAGCAGCGTTGCTCCAGCTATGGCTTGTATTTATTAATGATTGCAAGGTAATTTTTCCATAATATCCTTGTATTTATTCATTATCTTCTTTTACGCTCATATTCACGAGCTCTTCATTGCTTCTAATATCTCCATTGTAGGCACTAATGTATTTATAATCGTATTATAATGAGAAATGATTATCTTACTATTGCTCCTGCATCTGGCCCGCTTCTTTTTTCTGAAGTATTTATCTATGGCAAAAATGCATATGTATATTTGTACACTGTACATTTAAATTGTTGTTTACTACGCAGATGGCATTAATATATATGTACAATATTTACACATTATACATTTATATTGTTGTTTACTACGCAGACGGCATTAATGTACATGTAATATATATGTACGTTGTACATTTAACTTGTTGTTTACTACGCACATGTACATGTATAATATTTATACATTATACATTTAAATTATTGTTTACTACGCAGATGGCATTTATATATATATAATATTTGTACATTGTACATCTAAGTTATTGTTTACTACGCAGATGGCATTAATGTACATGTAATATATATGTACATTGTACATTTAAGTTATTGTTTACTATGCAGACGGCATAAATGCATATGCAATATATATGTACGTTGTACATTTAATAATATATATGTACGTTATACATTTAAATTATTGTTTACTACGCAGACGAGCGGTACGTGTTCTCGCACGTGCGCTCGTGCCTGGTGATCCACGGGCCGCTGTACGCGTGCCTGCGCGCCATGTTCGGCCTGTCCGTCATCGGCATCCTCGTGTCCATCTTCTCGTGCATGCTCGTGTACCAGCTGCTGAGGTGAGCACTCAGCTGGTGCTCGTGTACCAGCTGCTGAGGTGAGCACTCAGCTGGTGCACGTGCTCGTGTACCAGCTGTTACGGTCAATAACACATAAGTCGCCAGTCAGTACATACTGTACATAACTCGCCGCTTGTCTAAAGACACCGTACAGTACCTATAAACCGTATAGTACCTATAAAGTACCTATGAAAGACACCTATAGTAAAAGACACCGTATAGTACGTAGTCAGAACTTAACGATTCGTTGGGTTCAATTGCCGCTTGAAAACTACGAAGCGGTTTTAATGTCGCTAGCGTTTAGTGGTACAGTTTATTTATAAAAAAAAATCATTTATTTTAAAGACCTGCGACATATGTGCTGAAGTGACATTAATTGTAAAGCTGGTCCTTACGATGTGACCAGCAGCGAAACAACTTTTCCTGAAGTGAAGGATAACTGAGGTATTCCTCGGTAGTCATACAGATAACAATTTTTTCGTGGTTTACTATATTCATGATCGCAATGGATTTCAGATAAAAGAAATATCGATCAAAGAAATGCAGTACAAGCGTATACGTTAGATTTTTAGTGACGAGACATGTTCTTCCTAATTTGGGTTTCAATTAAACTATGTGCATTAAGCACCCCCCTTAGCCCCATTATATACACAGTTAGAAAAATTACCGTTAACGGTATTACCGGCGTTTCAGTGGCCGGTCGGCACGTGCAAAGAAACACCGTGTCACCGTTTTTATTCTCATTTAACACTAGAAATCCGTAAAACATCTGATAAAAACGGCAAAACAGTTTATTTTCACGGGGCGACCGGCCACTAGAACGCCAGTGGGGCCGTTTTTTCACCGTTTTTTCTAACATTGTAATACAGTAACCAACTGTAAACACCCCCTTGTTATTGAAGCCATGATGACAATGATCCATTACCGCCGCAGCCACGAGAAGAAGAAGATGTATTGGTCGCAGCTAGAGTCTCGTCGCCGTCAGCTCTACCGCCGCCCCTACGCCCTCACGTCACCAGGGTCAGGAGACCTGACACGTGACGGAGGTGAAGCCCTCAGTGCCATCACAGCCACTACCCGCCTCGCCCCCGACTGCGTCTGCTGCAGCGACGACTATGGTTTCCCCACCTCCATAACACAGGAGGCCCTCTACCCCTACGCCTTGTGGGACACCATCGATGAGAGGTAGGTGCTCTACCCCTACGCCTTGTGGGACACCATCGATGAGAGGTAGGTGCTCTACCCCTACGCCTTGTGGGACACCATCGATGACAAGTGAAGTAATCTTGTACTAGCATTAATGTCGCTCGTTGGCTTGTATCGCAAACTATTCTGATGTAAACTACTGACCAGAGGGAGCGTTGCGCTCGAGCTTTCTGTGGGGTATTGTTCGTGATGGTGTAAGAATAACATTGGTTATGGGGCAAGAGAAGCGTTCGTGATGCGGTAAGAATAACATTGGTGCTAACATTCGTGATGGATGCTCGCTTTGTCCTGGGAGTGTTGCAGGATCACGGTGCTGAGGTTTGAAATATCTACGCACAAGTCGTGTTTCGTGTGAACAATCAGCGTAGGGTGTCGAGTGCCGTAAATAACTCAAAACTCAAAAAAGCCAACTTGAGAGGTTGTACTTCAAAAACAATTTTCTAAAAAAATAAATTCAGTCATTAGTAAGCAGCTGGTGGCCTTAGGGTCGTCATTATTGCTCGTGGAAACCAATTTCTTGTACAGGCAATGAGCAAGAAAAGAGTTGGAACTCGTAGCTTTTAAATATTGCCTAATATAGAGTAATCGAACAAGTCATGTAACAAGTGCCTAGTGGTTACAATTCAGAGTACCAAGATTGGCGCAGAGAGGCGTGGGTTCGATCCAACTCTGCGCGTCAGTTTCTGGTCAGAATCGGCGAGGAGGCCGGGCGGTTAAGCACAGCAGAATTGTAGCAGTGAGTTGCGAGTTCGAGACCGCAAAATGCTGTGAATGTTCTGCGATGTTAAGAATCGGCGACTGGCCTACGGCCTAATAAACGCTGAAACCGCTATTATTATTATTATTATTATGTTGTGCAGGTGTTGGTCGTCAGGCGTCCTGAGCCCCGAGGCAGACACGCCTGGCGGGAACGGCGCGCGGTCTTTGCTGCTTCACCTGCACCACCCGAGCTATGCTGCCGGGTCAGTGGTGCTGTTCCTCAGTGATGACTGATAGTATAGTATACTAAGTATAGTATAAATAGTATGGTATAGTATAGTATCGCATAGTATACCGTAGTATAGTATAGTAAAGTATAGTATACCGTAGTTTAGTATAGTATAGTCTAGTATACCGTAGTATAGTATAGTAAAGTATAGTATAGTATACCGTAGTTTAGTATAGTATAGCATAGTATACCGTAGTATAATATAGTAGAGTATACCGTAGGTTTGTATAGTATAGCATAGTATACCGTAGTATAGTATAGTATACCGTAGTATAGCATAGTATAGTATAGTATCTTCGGCATTGAAGAATAGGCCTGGATAGGCCTGTCGCCGATTCTTGTACTTTTCTTGACTAGACTGGCCTTACGGACGGTAGATTTAAAATCGCTTCTAGATTTCAGTTGTTCCGTACGAGGCATTTTAAGACTAAACATATTGTTGCCGGAAGGCATCTGACCTTTGATCACTCAACCAGTCTGTGTTTTAATTCATTATTTTTCAGTACCGTCTAACTCAATTTAATTATTTCCATTTTAGTTCAGAGTGATTTATTTGCACAACTAACGACAGTCGCGTTCAATTCTGTTCTGTCATTTAGTAACTAGCAGCCACTGGCATTCCGTGTATTTGTGTTTAGTCTGGAAGTGCAAACCTGGTGTCACTGTCACTCTAGTGTCTAGTCCTACCCTGTGCTCCCTATAAACTAAGGTTTTGGCCTAGAACAGCCAACAGTACTCATAACCCTTATCAGTGGAACTGCCAGTAAGCCCACTGATCAATGCCACACTCTTCACTTGTTTCATTTGTTTATGTTTTGCTGTACTATCCCTAAGTATACTTTTAATAGAAAATTCATTCATTTAAAGTCTACACAAGATTAATAGCTTCCACTGTTTAACTCTGAAGTGGACAACGGGTTTGTCCCACCCGCTAGCACGGTAACAATATGCTCGTGATGCAGTCGTGTTGCTTACACTGCTGCAGTGGTGTTGCTTACACTGATGCAGTCGTGTTGCTTACTCTGCTGCAGTGGTGTTGCTTACACTGCTGCAGTTGTGTTGCTTACACTGCTGCAGTCGTGTTGCTTACACTGCTGCAGTCGTGTTGCTTACACTGCTGCAGTCGTGTTGCTTACACTGCTGCAGTCGTGTTGCTTACACTGATGCAGTCGTGCTGCTTACACTGATGCAGTCGTGTTGCTTACACTTTTTTCTTACTTGCTTCCGGCGTAGCGCCAAAATTCTTACTTAAAAACTCGGGCAAATATACATTTCATACAGCAAGTTCTTCAACGAGAGGTTAATGGCAAACAGATTTAAAGTGATGACGTTCATGCTTATATAGAGTTCAATTACCTGAATTACAGAAAAATAAATAATGTGACCTTGAATAATTTTACATTTAGCGACTAAATTATTATTACATCCATTTAATTTAAATGTTTTCTTGAATAACTCGGAAGTTAATGTATGAGCCTGAGATTTGATTGAACTAAGCAGTATGTAATTGGGAAAATAACACTACATTTTCAGAACAAAATGTAATTTCAAAGCGTTTTGACATGCAAAAATTTCCCAACACCTTCAAACAAAATTATTCGTTCAGTTGGGAAATACCTGTTAACATAGTTGTGATAATAATAATCAATATACGTTGCGATATTTGATCTATTATTTGATTATAAAATATTTGATCTATTCTATTCTATTCTAATGGCATGTCCTTTCACCTTTATAACTTCCAGCAGTCTCTTTCTGTAGTGTTTGATGAGATTCGCAGTGGTATCCTGTTAGATATTTAATATAACATGCCGCAAAGAACGTAGCAAATTCATTGTACATTTCCTGCCGCAGGGGCTGCGTGGAAGACGGAGTACGCCAGCACCCTCATCACTCCGGCGTCCTGCTAAGGCCCTTCATGTCCCGGGGCTTGGAGGGGCGTCTTGGCTTCCGACATCCCCGCGGCAGCCGTCCGCTATCTGATCCTGGGGTCGCCTTGCATCTGCCTCCTTATCCTCCCCCTTCCTTCCCCGAGGCCTTCATGCCCATGGGGTACCCCGACGCGTTCCCTGGATATCTCTGGGGCCCTCCTCCTCCTTATTCACAACCCACCTCAACCGAAAATATTGCCAACGTCACCACCATGGCTGGCGAGTCCATGTCGCCGTCACGTGGAGGAGACACTGCACCGTCAGGTCTTCGTCACGAGGGCTCGTCCGTTCTCATGTCCCCTGCTCACCGGCCCCCGACTCTGGCTGACCTCATGAGAGGCCCCGCCAGTCCCCCAGGAAGAGGACTGACCATGAGTGGCTTAGCCATCAGCCATGAGGCTCAGGACGTGACCTCCCCAAGCCGTCCTCTTGGCAGGCCCCCCCGCGCTCGTCATAAAAAGAAATGGGACGTTATCCCCAGCAGTGAAGGTGACGTCGTTGACTCTACCTCTCACGGTACAAATTCTCTACCTCATAGACATAGGGACAAGAAACTAACTTTAGGACAAGTCAAGTCTCTCGACGACGTCACTGAACACAAGCGCGATGAGCGCGTCGACACCATATTTTGTGATAGCAAAGACATAAATTCCTTTGCGAAAATCCAGAGAGAAATAAATATTGATAAGCCAGGCTCGAAACATTTGAAGAGTGTGAGTGACCCAAAGTCTGTGTATAGTACAGGCAAAATGGATCCAGAATCAGAAATATACTTCGCTGACGTGTCGTCTTGCGTGTCGATCAGACCTGACAGTGAAGAGGTGATGTATTATTCAGACCCCACCAGCTCTGGAAGTCACCAATACTCCATGCAGCGGCAGATTTATATTGACCCTTCAAACACGTACCCTGATAACCTTACATCGTCACGCGCGTCGTCTAACGTGTACGAGCTGGTGAGAGAGGCCAGCGAGGACGATGAAGATGTAGGTTCTCACCACACGTCGGATGACACGATGATCGTCCATACCTCGTCCTCGAGTCCTAGCTTGACGGGGGACACCGAAGCCGGGGACACTGAGAACACTTACAGTGTCATATCCCCGGCCACGGAGCCCTTGAGTGTCGAGTCTTCCGTAGGGATGGAAGTGGACGGCGGGCCTTGCAATACTTCCTCCTCCCCAACTCATCCTGTATTTGAGAGAACCGATTCTACATGTTCTGCCAAAACTAACAATGTTTCTGTTAATAACGTCATCAACGAAGATAGTAGGAATGCTAATGAGGAAAAACTTATAATAGGGAATTTATCGCCCTCAACTTCTGAAGAAACAGTTACCTCAAGCATTAGTAACCTGAACCTGCACCATCCGCTTCACCCAGTACACCACGCGCACCATCAGGCCTTCCATCATCATTTGACCCATCATCATCATTCCATGGACGCTTCTCTCACGAGTATTGGTATTGGCAGAAAGAAAAGAAGCAAAAGGCATGAACCACGAAACGAAAAATGTTCTAGCAAAAGGTGCAGTAAAGCCAAACTAATGAAGCCTAGTGAAGAACCTTTACACGAAGTTGTGCACGACTCCACATCTAGAGACTCAAGTCTAACTCTTGAAGCCAAAACGCCAGCCAAACACAAGCTCGACTCAACTTTTCCCAGTAAACCTTATTCTACAGATAAGCCCACCATGAAACTGAAACAGCATCGCCTTCGAAAGCATCACCCTAACCACCACCACCACCATTCAGACGTGCCTTTACAGTCATCTTCATCTTCGTCTTCAACAAGTCTGCCATATCCTGACATGGCAAAGCCAGAACAACTGCAGGATCCCAACGGCAACGTCTCTAAGCCTGCCACTAATTGTCATCTTCTTGACGTGAATTCCGTCACTGTGGCTGAAGAGAAAACGAGTCAAAAATCGACAAGCGGGATGGGCTCAAGTAAAAAAAATGTTCCTACATCGAATGAAAACAGCAAATCCAACCCTTCTAATTCATCAAATATTTTTTCAAAGAAACCCAGTTCCGACAGTAAGGGAATCACTTCACCCATAAGAAAGCCTCGCTCAAATCTGTCCCTACCTCTTCGTAAGCTAAGCGCAGCCACAGTTGCTTCTGAGGCGCCCACCATCTCATCCGCTGCAAAAAGAACCCCAGAGGCGATGGTCGAAGACAAAAACAATATCTCCCCTTCAAAAGACAGAGAAACACGTAAAAAGCGATGTAGTGAAAAAGCGAAAGGTGCACAAAAGTCATGTACTCAAGCGAATATTACTCGGGAAATATCAAGTGATGATTTGATAGCTACCAAAGATTTGAAATCTGATTCCAGACAGTCAACAAACAGTGAAGCAGACAGCAATTTTTTTAAGAGAACACGCAGGTTAAAGCCAGAGGTAGCGATAACTAAAGCTGTAGTCACGCAAGAGTTGAACACTGCGCCATTAGCTCAACAGCCTCCAGTGAGTGTATCTGCATTGCTGGACGACTCGAACGTCGCATCTGATGAACCTGGCCACCCCACGCCAGCAAGTCTGGTGCCACAGCAAGATGAAGTTCCCGATTCTGCTCGTCGTGCGCCAAATGTTCATCATTTGTTACAAAACCTTAAGTCTGTTAACGTATAATGTTTTCTGTGTATATTCGTGTAGACTCAACACATTGTCAATTATTCCGATGATTCTCTTGTCCTAGATGTGAATGAACAGAGTTTAACTGATTTTTTCGCGCGAGAAGGTTATTTTTAAAGTGTGTGTTCCATAGGCGCCGCTGTGTAGCACTTGTTTTTCATTTGTTATAACATATTAAATGTTAGTAATTGATGAAAGTTCACGAAATCCAATTTAATGAGCGTTGCCGGGTGAGCATTCAAAAGGTAAATTTCGTTATTCCGAACCAGAGAAGTCCCGGGGTGGTCGCGTGGATAAGATGTAAGATTTTAAAAGCGGATTGCGAGTTCGAAACCCTCTGACAGCTGTGAAATTTCTTGTCGAAATTATTGATGTGAGCAAGTGATTGAGCACAGCGCCATCGAAACATTGAGTTGCGGGTTTGAAACCCGCATCTAGCTGTCAACATTTTACGAAGACTAAAATCTGTGTCCTAAAAAGATGGCCTAACCATTTATGCTGGGGTCACCATATCACATGAAAAGCCGGCGTCAATCGTACAAAGAACTAAAATAATTCTTCATTGTTTCGATGAATTTCTGCAGATATTTTTGTCGTCCTTGTTGTATAATTACAATTATTGTTTGTATAATTATAGTACGGGTATTTTGTTAGACACGAGTGCCAGAGATTCTCGCTCGTTTTCTTGTCTTAATGTTAGCTGACGAAGCTCTCTTCTTAAATCCTACAGACTCGTCTCGACGTCTACTTCTTAATTTAAAGGAGTTATTACATAATTAATAAATGCAGGAATTATTTCCATAATTACGTTATCGCTGGCAAGACTTTTAATGCAGCGCATAACGACCTCTGATATAAAATATTCGCTATCATATATAGAATGTTAACCCAAGCCCAATATAATGTTAGTGTCAGACCCACTGAGGCTTTGTTAAACGTTTGCTTGCAAGAATTCTGCAATACTTAAGAATACTGCAGCATTTTGCTAATGTTGATTACTGCGCTTATGGTGAAACTTTCGACTGCATAGCGTATCTTGATTTATTCGTTGATGAGCTGAGGAATGACGATTCTCATTAAACGTGTGCCGAAGATTGATAAAACGAAATGTAACTTAAATTTTCAACGAATCAAGTTACTTCAGCTTGATATTTAGATCGTTTTGGGACTTTTTTCTGGGTTTAATATTCCATGTCTGAGTGTCATCTCATCCGACAATTTTATAATTAACTACACAATCCTGATCCTTTAACCTGAATTTCTAATAAAATGAATTTTGTACGTGCAAGAAAAGTGAGTAAAGCTGAGCATATGATGCATGTGATCGTTGTGGCGTATACACATGTGTTCTGATGAGATGTTCTGGCTAAGCCAATCATGGTCAGTCCAAATGTTCTAATGAGTGTTTGCTGCGAGACAAGTTCTGTTAGTAGCTGCCATATACACATGTGTTCTGAACACATGTATACACATGTGTTCTAATGAGTGTTTGCTGCGAGACAAGTTCTGTTAGTAGCTGGCATATACACATGTGTTCTGAACACATGCATACACATGTGTTCTAATGAGTGTTTGCTGCTTGCTGCGAGACTAGTTCTGTTAGTAGCTGCCATATACACATGTGTTCTGAACACATGTATGCACATGTGTTCTAATGAGTGTTTGCTGCGAGACGAGTTCTGTGAGTAGCTGGCATATACACATGTGTTCTGAACACATGTATACACATGTGTTCTAATGAGTGTTTGCTGCGAGACTAGTTCTGTGAGAGGCTGGCATAATTAGGAGGCACACTATAGCTTGTTTGCCAGGTGAGACCAGCCAACGCACAGGTGTAGGCGTAATATAAAAAAAATATAACTCAGTACTCACTGCAGTGAGTGACACAGAACGCATTTTATTGTCCGTCCGTTCGTGGAGTCACGGGCAGACAGACGGACGGACGGACATGACGAGGACAATAGCACCTTTTTTCCATAAATGAGAAAATGCGCTAAAAACAAGCAAGCGAAAATCCAACAGCCATTACCGACTCTCACAACATCACTCGCGCAGCCTTCAAGAAACAACATAGCAGTCCATAAATTAATGAATTGGTCGGAACTGCACTTCAGCAACAACGTGTTTGGCTAGATCCATAATCCGCTTTAACAATAAGTCGCTTATTAACTCATCAAAATCTTCATTAGTCGGATTGTAATATTTATTTTGTTCATCTGTGCATACGTATGAGAATTGAGGGTAAAGATGTACGCGCTTATTTATAACGTTTCATGTCTGACGAGCGTGTGTAACTCAATGCACTGCATTGTAATTCCGTTCATCAGTGTCTGCAGTAAATATAAATCTCACTTTGCCCCTCGATCGTAAAATTTGCATTAGTAGAAAGGAACACTTGGCTGCAATTATGCAACGAGTAACAGTAATGACATTACATTAGTAATGATAGTAATGACATTAATGTAACGAGTAACAGTAATGACATTATATAGGCACACGTGTTACTCCTAGCTGAGCAGTGTTGTGATGACGAGCTCTCTTGTTCTGGGGCCATACTTTCAAAACTCGCTAAGTGAACGTAAGTACTTACGCTCTGTTTTTTTCTTACCTATGATTGGTGGATTTTGCTTGAAAGGCCGTCAATGATTGGCTGATGAACTTACGGTCTCTTAACTTTTTTGAAAGTATAGGCCCTGTACTGTACCGGCCAACTCCCACCGTGCCATCTAGAGTGTAAGTCTTTGTTCCAGTGAGTTAGTCTTGAACTGAGTCTTTAGAATGAATTATAGCGTTCACTTTTTTATCGCACTTTATAAAGGCCTTTTCTAAGCTTATTATTGCCCATGGTAAGTGCGAGCAAACTGCCACTTGAGTCGAGTGGTTAGTACTAAAATAGCTCCTTTGTTGCTTTTGAGAGGCCCCTTGAATGTAAACAGAGTGTAGAGTAGTTACTCTGTTGAAAATTTACTGTTTAATTGTTTAAACCGAATGTCACTTGCCCCGACGTGAACTCCATGCACCCGTGAATTCCTGAACCGCGTTAGTGCCGTACTTTTCAATACGATTCTCAGCTTCATGTAGCAGTAGTATATTATGCAGGCAACTCCAACGCATATTTTATTTGTTTTCTAACTATTCTAAGTGTTGATGCTTCAACATCCGTGAAGAGTATACACTGTTAGAAAAAAACGGTGAAAAAATGGTTCCACTGGCGTTCTAGTGGCCGGTCGCCCCGTGAAAATAAACTGTTTCGCCGTTTTTATCAGATGTTTTACGGATTTCTAGTGTAAAATTAGGATAAAAACGGCGACGCGATGTTTCTTTTCACGTGCCCACCGGCCACTGAAACGCCGGTAATACCGTTAACGATAATTTTTCTAACAGTGTAGCAATTCTTGCTCAGCCAATATCACATTACTTACCAGGCGCTGTTAGCTTTGACCTGTGACGGCAACTGACCAAACTATCTTCGTACCAAATACTTCCGTACCATGAGAAACTATGTCCCTCCTTCGCAATGTATTAGTATATTGTATCGCGTAGTCATAGAGATAGGACTGAGTTAGAGCAGTGTTCTCGTATCTAGCAGTGCCAAAACATGTAAATCAAGTTTCTTAATCCAATAACAAAAGCCAAAATTAACATCTAAAACTTTAATCTCCGAAAATTAGCTTTTTTATAACATATTCATTGATTGGTGTCATATTACCCCGACCCCATATACAGATTTCTTTATAAGTATTAGAACAAATTACGTCTGATGTTTTCTCGTACAGGACATATCTTTAACCCGGAAAATCTTACCATAAATTGCATTTGAGATCACACGTGTGTTTGTGGCAGCGACCTATTTTTACAAGTTATTTACATACAGCTTATGTTCAGTTGAAATCAAAATCTGTTCCATAAATGATGAACAATTAAGTAATTCTTCCATGAACGATGGAAGGTGTGTTCGCTGCAAGACTTGGACTGCATGCAGCAACAAGCTGCGACACGTTCATATCATGTACCGTTCTGGGGTCATACTTTCAAAACTCGCTAAGTGAACGTAAGTACTTACGCTCTATTTTCTTGTCTATGATTGGTGGATTTTGCTTGAAAGGCCGTCAATGATTGGCTGATGAACTTACGATCTCTTAACTTTTTTGAAAGCATGGGTTCAGTTCACGTCTTGCGTTCATTTGTAGCGTGCAATATTGTTGAGGTGAAACAACATTTTACCGTTACGGAATCCCTTCTCATAAATCTATCTTGATCCATTAGCTCCTATTTTCAAAATAATACAGGTTAGTGGTCTTAGAAATCCTAAAACATCGATTATTCTCCGATTATGCATTACTTTTTGCGCCACCATTCGTTACAATTTTCTGATTATAAGATTTACTAAAAGGGAGACGAAGAGCATCATGCAGACTTCATTCATAACCTCTGCTCCCTTTAATCTTACGGTTGTCAGTAAAATAAATTTATCCACTAGTATCTCTAAATGTTCTGATCCGTTCGTCAACTCGTCTAATCGTTGTATGTCTCATTCGTAAATACAATTCGTACAATTCCATTCGTAAATACAATTATTAAGAATGCAGTGGCACTAATAATTCAATGTTTGGAAAAAATACAATGGTCATAGAGACGGTTAATCATTAATGTGGCCGGCACTACCCTTTATCAGTATGTATGATCTAAGATAATTTTGACCAAACTCATATACTCATTCATAAGGACATTTCCTACATGTTCGACAATATTCGTTTTAGTGTTTTGCTACTTGTTGTACATACGTGAATTTTTCTGCCATACATTTACTTAATAAATTCGTATTCCTTTTAGCAAGAATATTTACTTATCCAACTTAATTAAGTATCATAAATTTACTAGTGAAATGACGCCTCCTAATCTCTGGCAATATTATATTTACCGATGAAAAACCTATGAAATATTATTTATTATTTGTCGTCTATACTAAATGATATTTGTGTTGTAATGTATTGTTTTTATTCGCATTTAATTGCGAAATTCTTAAGAGTATTTAGTTATATTTGCGTGCATTTCATTGGTTCTATTCATGTAAGAAACAAAGTATAAGTGCAAACCAAGATTAAAGCGCCATGTTAACATGGCTATAAATAAATACAAGAGTTTACTGTCACTTCGCAAACGTTCATGTTAAAAGCCTGCATGTTGTGTAATCCATTAACTTAGTTATTATTTCCGGAGTTAATTCTGCTAACTTTATGAGCAATTTGGAGCCCGTTGTGCAGCTTTGCTTACTAATTAGGATTAGAAAGGTGACAAAATAATGTCATTTTTGTGTGTTCAAATACAACTAGAAGCAGACCATTCGCTTATGCGAACTGTCACCTGCGACCAAACATAGAAACCTAAACGTGAATACAAAAACTAATTTAGCATATAACACAGTACGTTCACTGCGTTATGAATCTCTGCATTCTTCCATGACAAATGTGGTCTATGCAAAGTCATATGTTTCCAGTTCCATTTGAATTGTTTTTAATTTCTCTGCCTTTCAGAGTGCGGCTGGAACATTTCACTTGGTGATTTCGATTTATTAAGCTCTACTTCCGCTCGATACAGCAAAAGTAGCTAAATCGATACTTTTGTATGCCATATTGTTAAGTACAAAAGTCTGTGTCTTTCTGTACTCCATTGACGTTCGATTTATTTTTTACTCTGCGTTCGATTTCTGCGTTCGAGCCATATTGTTAAGTACAAAAGTCTGTGTCTTTCTGTACTCCATTGGCGTTCGATGCATTTTACGAAATGTGAAAGTTAGCCGTGCAGGTAATTGTACAGCTGACATCGCAGGTGTCCATGCTCTGATAAGCTACTTCCCTGTGAGTTCGAAATGCAGCCGGTTTCACATCACATGCCGTCGACTTATGTAGATAAATTTTATTCAATTCAACGTCAGCGTTCAATATAACTACAAAATCAATGGCACTAAACCACGTTATAAGTCTTGATACTTTCGATTTCCAATTGAAACAGAAAATTTGCACATAAATTACTTCACGGTGGATTATGGCCGCCAATAAAAACGACTGCAAATGTTTGGCTCTGATTTCATAAGCAGGGACGAAATTTTGTAATAAGAATTTTTAGGCTGCCTAACTTTTATGCATGATAATTACGGAAATTTTTTGATTATATGCTTCACGCGAGATGAGAAACGAGGAAGATAACAGGATATAAAATTAATAAGATATTCAAATGAATGTCCGGCACTCGCTGAGTCTGATAGCTGGTCGCATTATAGTCGTAAAAGTTAGGTATATATAGTTAATATAAATGCATAATACTAAGCATACTATTTAACATGCCCTTTACATGAACATGCCAGCATGTTCACACCAAGCGTCCAGTTCTAACGTCACTATAAAGCTAATGAGTTAATCATTCATATCATAACATAACATAGTGATGTCGGCGCTGAAGAATAGGCCTGATGTGGCCTGTCGCCGAATCTTATACTATTCGTGACTTGTTCACAGGAGGTCTAAAAACAGGTCCTTTTTCCTGATCTTTTCAAAACTGACGATAGTTTGAAAAAAAGCTACTGATAAGAACAATGTGGGAATTTTCACGATCAAAACAATGCGTAAAATATCGTTTTTAAAAATTTCAATTACAACATCTCAAAATAATTTAAATTAGATTTTGCAATGATGATTTAATACGGAGTTACGTTAACAGTGCATTACATCTATGTTACGTCGTGTCACAGTGAACAGTGCACATCAAACATGTTACGTCGTGTCACACAGAACAGTACATATAGAATAATACGTCGTGTAATAGTGCATATCAAACTTGTTACGTCGTGTCACAGTAAACATCAAACATGTTATGTCATGTCATAGTGCACATCAAACATGTCACGTCGTGTCACAGTGCACATCAAACATGTCACGTCGTGTCACAGTGCACATCAAACATGTTAGACTTTTCAATCATTACTCTCTCGTTGCAACCATGTCTTCTCATACTGTAATCATGCTGTTCATTGTTCTTTCCGAGGTGAAGTACTTTACACTTGTCAGCATTAAACCGCAGCTGCCACGTATCATGTCACGTCGTGTCGGCCGTTCGGCGATGTGACCAAATCACGTGTCATGTCAACTTAAAAATTAATTAAGGGCTTTCGAATCAAAATTTTTTAATGCAAAAATTTAAACATGTTAAGAATAGAATAGAAGAATAGAATAGAAGTGTCGGCACTGAAGAAATAGGCCCATGGCCTGTTGCCGATTCTTGAATTTTTCGTGAAAACTGGAAAAAATAAATTTTCCTGGTTGCTGACACAATTACAAGAACAACACGTGTTCCGGGATGGTATTGGGACTGGTGGTGATTTATTTCATATCTTTCCGGCGCACCTGCATCTCGTCATCTGGACCTGCAGATGTCGAGGTCCCACCAACATCTGGACTCAACATCAACCACAAAACAAAGAATCAATTTTTCTAGTAGATACAGCGATGCTACTAACTAAATCGATGACTGAGCCCAGTAAAAACGATGGGACCACGACGAAAATGATTGCGATAATATATTTCGAAGTTTTCATTAAATTTCCCCCAATAACATTTGTACCCAATATCAACCAAGAAACAAAGAATCATTTTTTCTAGTAGATATAGCGATGCTACTAACTAAATCGATGACTGAGCCCAATAAAAACGATGGGACCACGACGTAAATAATTGCGAGAACATATTTTGAAATTTTCAGTAAATTTTTCCATTAACATTTGTACCCAATATCACGAAAGAAAGAATCAATTTTTCAAGTAGATATAGCGAAGCTACTAAATCGAAGACTGAGCCCAATAAGAACGATTGGACCACGACGAAAATAATTGCGAGAATATGTTTTGAAATTTTCATTAAGTTTTTCCATTAACATTTGTACCCAAAATATCACGAAAGAAAGAATCAATTTTTCAAGTAGATATAGCGAAGCTACTAACTAAGTCGAAGACAGAGCCCAATAAGAACGATGGGACCATATATAAGGTTGACCCACGAGAAGTTCCGTCTCTCAATTCAGCTTTCTTGTTACGTCACGTAGATCGAGAAACTTAAACAAACCCGTCATTCCCATGACGGATTGGTTGACTGGTATAATCGAATTTCAGTAATTGGTTAATGCCCGTGACGTCACTGAGATCAGTGACGTCACAGGCGAACAACGAACTACATCCGCAAAAATGGGCTTCTGATGGGTCAACCTTACATATACTAGTTCAACCATGGATGGGACCACGACGAAAATAATTGCGAAAATATGTTTTTAAATTTTAATTAAGTTTAGTGGCAGATCAACGTCGTTTAGCTTACTATGATGATAATCTTATGATATTGTCTCACTTTCTTTAAATTTTGCCCGAAATTATATTAAAGACAGCTCGTTGCTGCTGGAAGTTGTATTTATTGAAGAAACAATTTAAACAAATTAACAAATTTAAATTTTTGAATTTAAACATATTTAAATTAACAAATTTAAACAAACTATTCAAATCGGGCCCACACTTGTGCCTATCATGACAGAGAAACACAATATTAATGACAATGGGGAATTCCAAAATTCAAATTCAAAATTCAATTTAAACTTTTTTTTAAACTACCTGCAGACAATTACTCACCTGCTAAGGTAAAAGACCATTTCTCTCTTCTTGATAATTTCCATTCACAAAACACGACACTGTTACGCTCCCTCACTGCACCAGAGCTCCGACACTGCACTGCCATTCACAAATCCAGAGCCACTTGAGTACGCAACTGCAATACACAGAGAGCTGGACTATACTGACAAGTGACGAGCACAGAGGGCTGGACTATACTGACAAGTGACGAACAGAGAGGGCTGGACTAGAGGGCTGGACTATACTGACAAGTGACGAGCACAGAGGGCTGGACTATACTGACAAGTGACGAGCACAGAGGGCTGGACCTCGCTGACAGGTGAAGAACACAGAGGGCTGGACCACACTAACAACTGCAGATCACAGAGGGCTGGACCACACTGACAACTGCAGACGTACAAGACTGAAACTCTTACCAAACTCTAGATTCGGGCGCACGACAGAAACAAACAACTGCTTCATCGCTTCTGTATCTAGGAACTTGTATGAACGTCTGATTAGTCCAAGAAGTTTGTCGGTTGTGTTAGCTTGCGTTTCAATATGCTTAGAAAATTTCAGCTCCTTGTCGACATAAACTCCGAGATGTTTTTCCACTCAAGACTTTTCAAACGTTACTCTCTCGTTGCAACCATGTCTTCTCATACTGCAATCTTACTGTTCATTGTTCTTCCCAAGGCGAAGTACTTTACACTTGTCAGCATCAAACCGCAGCTGCCACGTATCAGCCCAATTAACTAAACAGTCAAGATCACTTTGTAACTGCGCTTTATTTGACGCATCCTTCACTGTATTATAAACTTTTGTGTCGTCGGCATACATGGAGCACCCGCTGGACACTGCTTCTGGCAAATCGTTTATAAAAGCAACGAACAAAATAGGCCCAAGAACGCTTCCTTGCGGCACGCCACTGCGCACTGATGCCCATGGGGTCTGACACGGTTCCGTTAATACAGACACGTTGTCGTCTACCTACTAGAAAATCTCTGATCCATTGGAGTACGTTTCCCTTAATTCCAAAAGACTTCACTTTACGCCACAGCCGCTCATGCGGAACACTGTTAAATGCTTTGGCAAAATCGAGGTACAATGCATCCACTGGCTCCCTTTCGTCCAGCAGGCGAGTCCAATCGTTCAACGTAGATAATAAGTTATTGGTGCAGAATCTACCGGTAATAAAACCATGTTGACAATCTGATATGAGATATTGAGCAGTCAAGTGATCGATAATCCTATCCCTCACAACAGTTTCCATTAGCTTACAAACAACACTAACAAATGAAAGTCCGAAGTCGAAAAGCGTTGCGAAATGAGAGGGCGAAAATTAATGGCGATAGGGAATAAGCGATTTTAAATCTACCGTCCGTTGAAAAGATCTGATCAAAAGGCCAGTCTAGTCAAGAAAAGTACATGAATCAGCGACAGGCCTATCCAGGCCTATTCTTTAATGCCGAAGATACTATACTATACTATACTAAGTGAACGAAAGTGAAATGGCGTTGTTCAAGATAACTGTTTTAAACGTGCCAATACAGAAATTGGAGGAGACAAGATTTAAGAAACAAATACGCTGTACATTAATACTTTGCGAGATATATAAGGAGAAACGACTGGCATGTCTGAGGCCGATTTTACGGCCGGTTTTCAAATTTGCGGTGACCAAGAAATATTTCCCAAAGTAATCAACAGAGCTCAATGTTACATTGTACACATATTTATTGGGACCCAATGCTGATCTTCTGTTCGTAAAAATTTTTTCGATTTCTCCTTCATTCGCGAGTTATACGGCAATACGCTAAATCCACTGTTGAACGTATGAATAAACATTTTAGTGAATAATTCAAACTTTACTGCAGATGATTCAAGTGCAAATTGCAATGTTCCACTTTGACTTTACGAGCTCAGTATCACCGCTGAGTGAATAGGAATGTATATTCAGTGTTTTGTTCAAATCTGTCCATTAGTTTAAAAGAAATTTCTTGGTCACTGCAAATTTCGACCCGTATTGCTGTATAACTCACGAATGAAGGTGAAATTTAAAAAAAATCGCTGACAAAGGCAAAATATAAAAGATTTGTCACGAGCTAAACATCACTGTTTGATAGTTAGAGATATATATTAAAAGTTTCGTTCAAACATATTCAGTAGTTTAGAAGCAATTTCCGATAAGTAGCTCAGTCCGCCAAATGTCAACTCGGTGACATATTTTTTCTGTTCAATACGTATATATCATAAAATTAGTTTGATCATGATATATTTTTCGATAAAATTATTAGTTTTTTGTACAAAATTTTCTATTTAAGCACATACTCTATAGTTTCATGAAGAAATAATTTAAAGTTTTCAAATTCGTTTCATCATAAATTATTTGCTTATTCAGTTAAGCAGTGAATATTCTTCATTCCCTTGAAATATTTTAGATTTCAAATTTGTTGCATAATGGCATTCAAAATTAATAAAAACGGATAATAACTTTGTTCGATAGAAAGAAGCAGCAGCTCTCTGGCTCGTTTCAACACTTGGTAAATGGTTCTTGCGCTTCTATCCTCCTGCCACTCGGTAAAGCTGGCGCCTAGCATCATTTAGTTGGTGAGTACCCACGACATCTCTTATCAATTAAGTTGCCGCCTTCATTTCTTCTTGCAAGTTGAAATAAATTATCGAACCTTCTGTCATGCCGTCCGCTGTGGCAATCAATAATTACGGGTCCCGTTGTATCAACGTCATAGGTTTAGTCTCTCTTAGGTGAGTGACTTGTATTTGTAACACTAACTGTAGCCAATTGTCTAAAAAGCCGGTTGAACGCCTAAATCAGTAGGTAGTATATACTATATGCCAATGGCGTACCTCTTAAATTTCTATTTCATTCTCGTGAGAAATATAGTGACTGCAAATTTTTCTGGCGATCGTAATTCAGTAAAGTCTTCAGTGAGTTCAGTCTTGGTCAATCCCAGGCTTAGCCGAAGTCACTCATAAGTCATATGACCTTTTTATCTTGGTTGCAGTCTTAACTCGATTTCATGTAGGGGCCTACTTATGGGCTTTTATGGCAATTTTAAAATTTCCCATGTTAATTCAACAAGATGTAATGTGGTGAAAGTATGAAATGTAGCCTAGCCTATTGTGTGAATTTTTACAATTATATCCTGAGCATTACTGCATTAGCCTATCTATAATTTATAGTGCCTGAATAATAGTAGCTAGCTATTTAATGGCAAACCAGAGGTGTTTATCAAGATTTTTAATTGAATACCCTACTAAAAATTTCAATCAATATCCTGTGTGTGTGGACTGTGTCACTGTGGTAGGTAGGCCTACTAATATTATGCTGGTAACCATGATGCTTCCTAGTTCCTGGTCTATACCTAACAGGATTCTAGCCTAGGTATGTATAGTACCTACTCTGACAATATGATCTAGGTATAACAAATTGAATGGGGTTTGGGAAATTGGGAGCAGTGTGCTGTGGCCTGACAGGCCTGTGAGTGTGATGCAGAAGTCAAAACTGCTCAGCCAGTAGCCACCCACTAATTCTAATGTCTTAGCTAATCATATTGTCATTTCACAAGAAGAGTCTAAAGAAACCCTTCCTCTGCCAGGCCAGTGACTAATTTCTTGAAAAAGTCTCTTGCTACTCAGCTACTGTGAGACTGTGAGTGAAGATGATGAGCATACTTGGCCAATCTTCTTTCCTTGCTGCGTAAGCCTGCGTTTCACTTAAAATGTTGGAATGCTGGTCAGGACTGATTCGTTGGGATGGGTTATTAATTATATATGTATAAAGCTCTATAAATCTACCTGGAAAGTAGTGGTTTTGCTTTTGCATATCAGATTCTTTCTATTCAATGCATTAGTGGCATTAGGTAATGGTAGAGCAGCTGGGAAATATAAGAACCTATTGGGCATTCACTTATGCCTATAGGTGTTCTAAGTTTTTTTCTTGTGCCAGGGATGTTGCTTTGATTTTTTATGCTATAGTTTTAAGTTGATCATAAAATATCAAGCCTGAAGAGGATAACTGACTGAGAATATGAGAAGCTGACACGGCACCTTGTGTGGATTAAAACCTTGGGAAAATATTTGATGCATCAGGCAAATGACAGATGCTGTGTAATGTACCTGTAGAATGCTAAGATCTAAGTATAGAATAGATGAAGTGTAACAAAGGGGGAAAAGTAAATATATATAAAATATTTAAGCTGATGGAATGGACAAGATGTTAGTATGGACTCTGCCACTATGGAGGTGTGAGGGCTGATTGCAATCAGGATATTGAATGATGCAAGCAAGTGTTTTTTGGATAAATGAGCGATTGTTTTTAGCACATTTTCTCGTTTATGGAAAAAATGCACTATTGTGCCCACCATGTCTGTCTGTCCATGACCTTAAGTTTTTGTCAATGAGAAAATGCGCGCTTTGTCACTCACTGCAGTGAGAACTGAGTTATATTTCTTATTGTAATGCTGGGAGTGAAAACTGTATTATCAAGAAGTACTCGGTCACAAAGGGAAGAGAAAAACTAGAATACAGGCCAGTTGCACTTGCCTACATGCATTAGATATTTGGCGCTGTCATGAGTATTTGAATCAATTAATGTTGTAATAATGATGAGTCTTCTTGACAACAAGTGAAAGGGTAAGAAGATGACATGTATTTGTAGTGAACCAACTTGGAGTAGAAAAAAAGGGAAATGGTGAATTTGGCTTTTCCAGGGGCCGTATAATCAAAACTTTGTAAGTACGCAAAATCGACTTACGAGTGGCGTTGCTATGACAACGTAATACTAACGGTGGTATTATAAAAACATTTGCGCGGGAAAAAAATTTAGGCTTTTAGCTAAGACTTGCGTACGAAAGTTTTAATAATGCCAAAATTAGGGTGTATTTACGTACCACAAAACTTTTTTGTCGTAAGTACAGAAAGTTACGAAGTTTTGATAATCCGGCCCCAGGTACTGACAAAATGAATAACTTGGGAGATTGAAATGCTGCTTAGAGTGCTAGAAGGAATGTTAATGATTGAAGGTTATGTAAGATTCAATGAAGTATAATAATAGTCGAATATATGCTGGTAGATACAGGGATGGTTGGAAGCCTTTTGTTCTTACTTCTCTTTAACCTCAACGACTCAACCCAGAGGGGAGAATGGATATTGGTGTACATGTGTGATGTTGGCAGTGAAAGCTTGGTAGATTCTCTGTTTTTTTATCAAGATAGTGTGATGGTGCATAACTAGAGCATGCTAGATTGAGCAACTAGGTATGGTAGGGATTTTAGAGTGGTAAAGTTCTAAGAACCCTGTGCTTTGTGTGAATGGATTGGCTGAGGACATTGTGTTGCAGTTAGCAGAGCAAGATAGTAAGGGCCAATTGTCAATATATATATAATTTAAGTTATTATTCTTGAGCACAACTTGCTACATTGTACTTGGGCATTTTATCTGAAAATGTTGGTGTTTAAAATCCCCATCAAGACAAATTGATGCCGTCAAATACTGTGTATGCCTCCATTATTGTTTAGCTGACAGTATAAATAGGAAATTTCTGAGTGATTCTGTCATAGAAATTTGAATACCCAGTTTTCTCACTTTTTGCCCAAAAATTGTTGGTTTATCATTAAAATTGATTTAAAGCTGGGATGCCCTTTGCAATGCATTTTCTGAATCTAAAGAAAATGAGTGGCTAGAGAGATTTGCCATTTATAGGTTATGAGATTTTAAACATAAAAATTTATTAAAAATATCTGTGCAAGGATAAAATGTCAATTAGCAGCAAAAATGAAACCTAAAAATTAGAAGTTTTCATTATTTATAACATGTTCAATAATTGAGATCAAAATGTCAGGCATTTCCTTTAATTTGTGCAACCCCTGTATCTGCATGTACTGATAATTATGGCCATGAATTACCTAGAATTGTCACTCGGTAACAGTTGAGGAATAAATATCTGTAGAAAATGTGTTATCACTTGCAACTTTGTAATTTTTTTATCTTATCATTATCTAATTATGAAATTGATTCAATGGTTGGTTGGAATGGGTAGCCCAGGAGCTAAATGGCAGAATGTTGGTGTTATGAAATATGATGGTGCTGTCGATGAAAGAATGTTGCACCACAAAATAGCCATGATACTCCTGTATCAAGGCTTTCCTAAGCATGGTGCAAGAGAATATTCTCGGCTACAACATATGCTTGAGTGCTATACCAAGTGTAAGGAGGCTAAGAGAGACAGGATATTCTAATTTACATAGTTCCTCATGATGTTTATAAATGATTTTGAGGATGGATAATGTTAGAAAATAATTTGAAAGCTACTTCTCTTCTAACATTTTAATTTGAAAGCTACTTCTCATCTAACATTTTTCAATATTCATATGAAAAGGTGCAAAACTTAATTTACCTTTTTGAGAGGTAGATGATTCTTGTGTGCTTTATAAACTAATGCTGAATTGTCTACTGCGTTGCTTCAATAACGTATGGAAATCTAAAGGGCATTTTTTTTTTTTCAAGATTAAAGATGTTTGCATTCACTTTTGTTCTTACTGCCGTCAGTGAAATTTCTTAGCATCAATGCAAGATTACCTACCCTACATGAGGTGATAAACTAAGGACTAATGAGCCCTATAGTGATACAGATGTAGCAGATTTTTATCCTTGCCAGCTGCATTTTAATGTTCATGAATTTCTTGGTTGGCTTGATTAACCATTTTGTCTGGCACTGTGCTTATTGTCCTCACTGGTGCACATACAAATATTGTCAAAATCTGTGTCGACGTTGGGCTTTGTCCTGCTGTGCTTGTTACTCGTTCTGTAAAAATTAATCGTGGTACATTTGGCTAGTATTTCAGAAAGTATATATCTATTACCTACTTCTATTTCTACAAATGATCTTTAACCGGCAGAAATGCAGTGGAGAATTAGATATTTCCTGTGAGGCTGTCAGTAACATTATAAGTGAAAATAATTCTCGCCGTTGTCTGGTTGCAGGAGTAGTGGCTGGTGTGCTCCAAGACTGCCACCATGACGTCCAGGTTCTTCATGTCAGACTCTGGCTCCAGCGAGTCAGAAAGTGAAGAAGAAATTCGTGAGCCAACTAATTTCTTGGCACGCTTCAGTGATGACGAGGAAGACACGAAACGTGTCGTCCGCTCTGCCAAGGAAAAGCGGTATGAAGAGCTTCAAAACATTATTAAAAACATCAAGAACTACAAGAAGAACAAAGACTTGGCCAGTCTACACTCCAGTGAGTGCATCTTGGAATAATTGCTATAGATTCAATTGTAGCCCAATTATTTTTAAGATAATTCTAAACGTAAACTTTAAATGCAAGTGAGGAATATATTGTTCTGTACATCCATCTCGCGTTCAAAAAGAAAATAGGAATGTTCAGTAATGAAATTTCCTTGATGCTTTTTTCTAAGTCGGCCTCGTACAAAACCTGTTCCATGATTACAATCTAGGAATTCTGATCAGAGAAAATTTCACCCTCGTGACTAATTTTACTCCCAACTTTTCCATTGATTGCAATTGGGACCTCGTTGTAGTCGAACTGCTTCCTAATATAAAAGGTGAACGTGTTCAGGCTTTGAGGACCTGTGCCGAGCTTACATCAAAGCTGCGGTTGTCATCGAGAAGGAAGATGGGGGAAAAATTCCACGCTTCTATATCAGATGTCTAGTTGAACTGGAAGATTATCTCAACATGGTAAGTAAGTTTGATATCACTTAAATGTGCCCTTTGTTATGTGACATTCTAATATAGATTTTCGTGTAGGACATCTTTGATAACGTTATCTTTGTGAAGAATCTAGTCCTTAAGCCATGTATATTTTAACTTTCAGATTTGGGACGATAAAGAAGGTCGTAAGAAAATGAACAAAAACAATGCTAAAGGTCTGGCAACAATGCGCCAGAAATTGCGCAAATACGTCAAAGATTTCGAGAATGAATTGACGGCATTCAGGGAGAACCCTGACGTGGGCGACAGCGATGAAGAGGAAGAAGATTTGGCCGAGCAAGATGGCGGCTCAGATGCTGAAGATGACATGTTGACTCCTGCTGCTTTCAAGAAAGAAACCTCAGTTGCTAGGTACGTCTCCATTTAATATATTTCTTAACAAATCATGTCATCTCCAAATTCTTGTGCATTGTAGCAGATTTTTTGGTATTGCCTAATAACAATGGTATACTAATAACAATGGTATACTCGTCTAATTTTAAAATAAAAACTTGCCCATATGTTGTGCTTGAAATACTGCAAGCTTAGATGCTCTTCTTTGAATAGAGAGGGGCGGCAGACGCTTGCAAGAGAAAACGTGAGCTATACCACTCTACCAACTTTTGTTGGCCGATTGATTAGCACTCAACAAAACGATGTGAACGTGACCATGCATGGGGAAGGAATCATAAAATTTTCTTTAATTTTAACTTAGCTCTTCTTATTGACTTCTTTCTTGAGTATATTGCTCAACTAACTTTTAAACTCTGCATCAGCGGCGACAGCAGGATCGCTGTGGACAGGATGGCTGCAGGTGACGATGCGGACGATGAAGATGAGTACAGTGACTGGGGCAGTGACAGCGATGAGTCTTCTTCAGACTCTGATCCGGGTGGCTTGGTTCCACTCAGGTATGTCAGATCTTTCGTGTAATTACAATACCGCAAGATTTGTAAATGATTGATGCGTGATACATGTCAATTTTTTTTTCTTGATATACGAATTGTGTAGGTCCTCACTTTAGTTGAGTATTTATCAAGGCCATCGATATTGCAGAGAAAAATTCTTGAAGAAAACTGTAACACGTGAGGAGGATGAGACCAAGAAGAAACATCGTAGTGAGCGCAAAAAAGAACCCAAAGCTCCTAAAGAAGCTGATGGCGGTTGGGAGACAGTGAAAAAGGGTTCAGTTATTCCCACGGTGAGCGACAACCTATAAAATTTATTATCCAATGGCTAGCAATTTCTACTGTACGTTGTGTTTTTTATATTAGGCTTTACTTCATATCGCGCCGATTTGAGTTTGTCGAGTTCACTTACTGCAACGTATTTTTGATCATATTGCAGGACAATAGTAACGCAAAATAAATTTTCAGGAAAAACCTAAAATGTTTGGCAAGGATGACGAAATCAGCATCAAGAGTGTGACCAACAAGCTCAACGAAATCATTGCGGCTCGCGGCAAGAAAGGCACCGATCGTAAGGAGCAAATCGAGCTCGTGCACGAACTGATGGGCATCGCACGTGAAAACAACCTTGGCAATGCCATGTATATAAAGATTCAGTACCACCTCATCATGTCTATTTATGACTACGCGCCGTCTGGTTCCGATGCCATGAAACCAGAGCTCTGGGAGAAGGTGTTGAAGAAAATTGAGGAGCTCCTGGAGATGTTACTTGATATGCCCGATTTGAGCATCGGTTCCAACATCACCGAAGAGGACGAGAACCTAGAAACATCGCCATACAGAGTGCATGGAGATGTCGTCACGATCATAGACAGGATGGACGTGGAGTTCTGCAAGCTGGTCAAAGCTTGCGATGCTCACAGCAACGAGTTTATTGTTAAACTCAGAGACGAAGTGAAGGTTTGCAAGATCATTGATACCATGCTGGACTATCAGGAGAAACATGGCCTTGTTCCTGACGTATGTCGCATTTACCTCAGGAAAATAGAGCACGTCTACTACAAGTATGACAAGAAAGCTGCCGACCAAGCTAGGGTAAGATTCACTTTTTGAATTCAGTCAGAAACTACTCTGCATTCTTTTTTGCGAGATTTATGTTGAAGATAAATTGTGCATATTCTAGGCCTAATATTTTTCAGAGTTTAATTTCTGTGCCTTGATTACTGAAATAATGCGAACTTGTATGCTTTTTAGACTGAGCAACGAGTTTTTAGACGCTTGATGGAGAAAGAGCTTCTTCGAGCAGTAGGCCCAGCTCATCAGCTCGTTTCACTTGGTTCTACATTCTCATAGTACAACTAGTCTCGACTGTTTGATGAACTGCTTTATATCAGACCATTAATTGCTGACTATGCGATGCATTTCTGTTTATAAACTGAATGTTTAAGATACAACTTATAATTATTTGTATATTTTCATCAGGGTAAAATACCAGAGAGCGAAGAAACTTCCTTGAAGCTTATGGAGAAGCTTTGCTCGTATATTTACGTGCGCGACAACACTGACCGCCTGCGGACGCGTGCGGTGCTCTGCCACATCTACCACATGGCGTTGCACGATCGATGGTATCAAGCTCGCGACCTTATGCTCATGGCACATCTTCAGGTCAGAACCTCAGCCTGCTTTACTTCTCTCGTTTGGTTTGATACTAGTTTCATATAATGATTGCTTTCGTGTAGGTACCGCCCATACAGTAGAACTTTGTTTTGCCTATTGTGTCGATACGCAAGAAATTTATGACATGTGGCGCTCCATAGCTGGAGGCTGGGTTCAGGCTCAGCACCTTACACGTGCGCCTATAGTAACCGAGGGCCCAGGCTTACGGTTCTATCCTAACCGGGAGAAGCGTGAGGTGCTTCTCGGACACTAACTTTGTCTCGGTAAAATTTTAACGTCATTATTCATCACCTTTAAGAGTCTTGTCGTCGTTGATTAACTCTTTTTAAACTAGCCGATGATTCTCTGTATTTTATTGTGTGAATTTAACGTTTACGCTCGAAAATCGAAACTGGGTCTAGGCTTAGCAACTTACCGGGCTCCAAGGAAGTGACGGCCCAGACGTACGATGCTTCTAACTGTTTGTGGCATAAGTAACGTGTCTAACGATATCCGTCGTGATTGAGGAACGTACATGAAGAACATGATGCGTTAATATTCGAACAACCTCAAATCTAGTGCAAGGACTAGGATAAAATAACCTTAGCCGTCTTACTTCCTGCCGTCGAAAGGCATCTCAGTTTGTAAAATTTGAGTTACCGTCAATATTGGGGACGCTCGAAAGCTGGAGGCTGGGTTCAGGCTCAGCAACTTATACGTGCGCCCAGAGTAACCGAGGGCCCAGGCTTACGGTTCTCCTAACAGGGAGAGGCGTGAGGTGTTTCTCGGACACGTTAAGAGTTGAATGTGGTCATATCTTCACAGCATGTGATCATGCTCGCTTTCCTACCCGCTTAATGATTTTCGAGGCTCTGTGTCAAGAAGCTGTTGCGAAACAGTGGATATTTACATAGTTATAAACCATGTCAAGCTTCTCACAGTAAACTCTATATCAGCGTCTTAAGTTTTTAATTAGATATTATTTTTATTCTCAGCTCTAAGTAGTATCAGAGGAAATTGATATAATCGATAATGCTCTAATTGGAAAAAGCTCTTCGACACAAATGTAACAGACTGATGCACTTTCATTGTTATGATAGAGTAACCCTACTGCTTGAAGGCTCAAGCTGTGAGGTATCTGTTTAGCATTTGACATTATTCATATGCTTCGATGAAGACGGTTTTTGGCGGAGATGTTTTTGTTCTTTCTACGGCACGGCTACTAGGCTGCTGTTAGTACTAGCATCAGTCCTTGAAAGTGCCAGATTAATGACGTCTGTTAATCCTGTGTCGTTCGCATTGTAAGATTGACACGAGTGACGGTCCGACAAATACTATTTTCTCATCTGAGATATTAATTACCGATTGTCAAACTTGATTCCATAAATGTTACCAACTCTTGATTTACTACGTGAATCTTATTTTATGTCGATTCTCAAATGAATCTTCCAAACTATCAATGACAACAGCTTTTTATTAAAGACCTGGAAATGATACTGCATTATGCCTCCTCAAGCGCTCGTAGACAACTGCTGCTCATAATGGCATCGGTCTCATTGAGCGCTATATGAAAATGTGCCGTTAATTAAGGCTTTCTTTATCGAATGTCTACCAGACAAGGTTCAAACATAACACCTTATTTCCAAGCAGCCGCTGAATAATTTCTTTTTTGCTCCTTTATACGTATATTTTTCATGTCATGCAATCCGGCCTCAGCCAGTCTTCTCGGCATTATTGTGCTCGGGCGTGTCTAACGAGTTTCTGATAGAATTGTCACCAAAATACTCACTGCTACTGGACTGAACGGTCACATTGTTCAGTTTTCATGATGTGCTATACTAAACTGGCCGCTTTATCTTGTACCGTCTTTGGTTGAGCATGAAATTGATTGTTGCACTTGGATCATTACAAGAAATTTTGTTACGATGGCAAGTTTGTGTACAAGGTACGGAGTTGGAATATGAGCCTAAATGTAACTTATTTTACAGGATACTATTCAGCACTCGGACTTGCCCACCCAGATCTTGTACAACCGCACTCTCGTGCAACTTGGCTTGTGTGGCTTCAGACACTCTCATATCAAGGAGGCACACAACGCGTTGCTTGACATACAATCCGGTGGTCGCGCTAAAGAACTTCTTGCTCAAGGCTTGTTGCCACTTCGACAGAACGAGCGTACCTCTGAACAAGAGAAACAAGAAAAAGAACGGCAGATTCCATTCCATATGCACATCAATTTAGAGATGTTGGAATGCGTTTATTTGGTTTCTGCCATGCTAATAGAGATTCCTTACATGGCTGCTCATGAGTTTGACGCGCGCCGTCGTATGATTTCGAAAAGCTTCCATCACCAACTGAAGAACTCTGAACGTCAGTCGCTCGTGGGTCCTCCTGAGAGCATGAGAGAGCACGTTGTGGCAGCCTCCAAAGCCATGCGGAATGGTAACTGGCGCACTGCCAGGTGTGTATCCGTTGATGAAAATCTCTTCCCTGACGAAATAATTTAAATGATGTTTAAACTTTCGTTCAACTGAATTTTCTTGTTGATGATTTTTTCTGACCTGTGACGAATTCATTTCGGTTGTGCTTCTGCTTCAATTTCTTTCTTTAATCGTGTATAAAATATTTTCAGAGATCTACTTCTCAACGAAAAGATGAACGGCAAGGTGTGGGATTTGTTCCACAATGCCGACGAAGTTCGTGAGATGCTCGGTCGCAAGGTGCAAGAAGAAAGTTTGCGTACCTATCTCTTCACTTATTCGCACGTGTACGACTCCATCTCGCTGGTCACGCTTTCTGAAATGTTCGAGCTTCCTCACGCCACTGTTCATGCTATAATCAGCAAAATGATCATTAATGAAGAGATAATGGTGAGTTGAACGTTTGCCAACGGTATAATTCCCATGCAGTTCAGTATTAAAGGTAACTTGCGAAATGATAATTGTTAATTCTTTCTAAAAAATTTAAATTTGGTTTTACCGACGTTTTACATTTCATAGGGATCGCTGGACGAGCCTACTTTTTGTCTAGTGATGCACAAGACGGAACCTTCTCAGCTGCAGTCTCTATCCCTTCAACTGGCTGACAAGTTGCACAATCTTGTCGAGAACAACGATCGGATTCTCGATCAAAAACCCTTTTTCCAGCGCAACATGCAGGTAAGTTGACACTTTGAATATCTTTGTTCTCTCCATACCGCTCTATCGCCAGCAATGTGATGACAACATGAACTCCTGTATTCTGTTGATGACTCAAAATCTCTCTAACCTGATGATCCTCTTGTCATGTCTGCTTGATCTTGAATGCAATATATTTTTTAACGGATTACCTGGATTTTACAGGGCGGCGGCTATCGCGATCGCCAGAAGCCATGGGGAGGCAACACGGGCCGCGACCGCAGAGACGGACAAGACCGCCAGGACCGTGGCGGACGCGGCGATTACATGGACCGCCGTAGCAATCACATTGGAGAGCGTTCAGACCGCGGTAGGGACTACATGGACCGACGCCGTCAAGACTGAGGCTCCTACAACATTTACGGTGGACGTACATGAACTGTGAGTTGTATCCCTTTCCATGCAACATTTTAAATAGGATTTATACGATTTTTGTCAATTATAGTGAGCGTTGTATTGACTGCGATAAATAAGTCTAGCGATGTTTCAAGTCACTCACGCCCTTTTTTTAATTCACAGGTATCTGCTTCATTGGTTACTGGAGCGGTCTGTGTACGACATCAGAGTGCAAATAATGGCTCCTTGTCCTTCCCACAAGATGAAAAATTACGGGGGCCTGTCTGTTTTCTTTGAATTTTTGGGGTGCTCAGTACGTGGTCACATCAACCAAACTTTGCGGAAGCTAATGGTGCACGCTCAACTTGTCGCTTGATTCCAACTCGCATTTGCTTTCATAAAGAATGTTGACTCCTTACTGACGGCTTTCGTCAATGCTGGATAATTTGAAGAATTCAGACAGGCCCCAGACTCTGCATGTTGCGAAATTCTCCAATTTTGTGCTGGTATTCGATAAATCTATTAAAGCAAAACGGCGAATGGTTTGTTTTTCCCCATATTCTAGCTATTTAAACTTCTTGCAGGTAATTGCGATATTCTCAACATAGCTAACTCGGCTATAAATCGATAGCATTTTAATGACCTCGATTGCTCGAGCTGAGCATTTCCATGTCTTCGATTTCTCGAGTTTCTCCTCGCCTTGAGTAGTAATGATGAGAATTTCTGCTGAGCAGTCATCGTCTTTTGAAATTCCATAAAAATAAACTTGAATAGTCTAGTACCTCTTAACGTACCTATCGAGTACCGTCGGGAACCCGGTGTGTCGTTTTCGGTGATCACGTTAGAAGTGTTGGTGCCGATTTTTTTTTTTTTTTTTTTTTGTCCAGCTTCCAAGAACATACATTTACTCTGCTAGTACCAGGATAAAACTTGGAAAGCTCGGGGATGGGAGAGGAGCCTCTTTCTGTTAGTGTGTTATTTCTCGCTTTTGGTTACACCATTATGTTCTATATACTGCTAATTTGCCAAAAATTCTTGATCAATGTACTGGAATGACTTACATAAGTGAAAAAAGTTGAGCAATGATTAATCTTGTCAGAAAAGTATGCCGGCAACTTTGTTTGATTTTGTAAATAAAAACTAAAATATTTGATTAAATGGGCGAGATAAAGACAATTCACTTGTCACTCAAATATTTCACGAGCTCTAGAATGGGATATGACTAATCTGACTGAAATTCCTCCAATAGAGTTAGCAGAAAACGTGGACCGCACAGGACCCGATTTGTTAAGCTACTTGGGAAGTAACAATAGTAGACAACATGACATTCGATAAAGAATAATACTCGGAAATTAAGATTTATGCAGTAGTGGGTTCGAAGCAACAATGGGTGCGATAAAGTGCAATGAATTCGCAATTTGACATTTGCTGCTAAAACTGACGATTGCTTCTACCCTGGATCAGGAGTGGCGCAGAGGGTAATGATTATACTTTCATTCAATCGTCGTTAAATCGAAGGCCTGAAGTATATGTTGGGAAGCATGAAATCTTTGATAAGCGTCAACATCACGGTAGACTCTTTGAAGTTTATTTTAGCAAGACTTGGCCGCCAGCGTTCTTTGTTTTAGTGTTTCGCGGTTTGAGAGATGCAAAGCGTGTCTTGCAAAAAAAAAAAAACAACTGAAATATTTACATAATTTTTCGTGTTTCACTTCATGATTGAGACGTAACATGTCGAGAATAGATTTCATATTTCAAATACACAGCACGAGATATTATATCGTTCTACGATTTTTTAAGAAAAGTAATTTTAGACATAAATCGGAAGTATATATTTGAAACGTGAACTTGAAGTTAATAAAAAGGTACCTTATCCGGTTTTCATGCTACACGTCTTCGAATGATCTGTTGCGGCAAGAGGAATCAGCTGTTTTGTCGAATCGCTTTGTTTACATCAGACTTGTACACCTGTAGCTGACTATCTGCAGCCTGTAGGTTGTGCCTCAAACTCAAAGCGTTCAACTTGTGAATCATTAACAAGAGCTTGTAAAGTATTGGTTGATTTCGATTTAAAATTATTGGAGTTCTAGTTCATTTCTTAAGTTTATCAACATTCTGAAGTATGGCTAGCTACATCAAAGGAATATATAGCTATGTTAGACCGGTAAGCGACCTAAGCGTTTTTTGGAGCTACGGTAGTTGGGAAAAGTTTTACTTTTATTCTTAATTGTGGATTGCAGGTCAAATATCCTGTAATTTCAGTAACAGTGGCAAACCTGTTATTTCTTGGAATCAGTTTATTTTTTATATCTGCATTTACTCAAGATTTAAACCAATATCCTTTATATGATAATGTTGGTAACTTGGTAATGGTATGAAGTATGGACCATTAATAATAAATTATAATGGACATATAGTATCCGTAATACTTTGATGATCTACATTGCTAATAGGACTCAAAATTTTACTTGCAGAAAAGTCAAAAAAACTCTCTGCTTTGCCCCTATCACTATGCAGCATTTTATTGAAAAAATTGCTGTTCACAAACCTGTCATTTTGAAAATTTTCAACTTCTGCTGTTCAGTGCTATGCCCCCACTAAAATGTCTAGCATAAAGTTATCACTAAAAAAAATCTTCTCTTATTACCCTATTTGACAGTGCTGTAGTTATCTCACTTATCTGGCTGTTTTGTGCAATATGCATTTTGGCATTCAGCCGATGTAAATTTGTTATAAATTTTTGCTTCCCAAGTTCATGCCAGCTGTCTACTTAAACACATTTTGGTAATCAGCTGATGATTTTTTAAACTATAGTTTTTGCTTTCCACTAGTTGCCTGCTTTGTGCATTGTGCATTCTGGCATTTGGCTGATCAAACCAGCTCAATAATTTGAGTGAAATTTGTAAAATTAGCTAAAGTAGCCAAAATGAATGTAGTAGTGAAAGAGTTAATAATAAATAATATAATAGCGGTTTCAGCGTTTAGTAGGCCGTAGGCCTGTCGCCGATTCTTAACATCGCAGAACACTCACAGCATTTTGCGGTCTCGAACTCGCAACTCACTGTTACAATTCTGCTGTGCTTAACCGCCCGGCCTCCTTGCCGATTCTGACCAGAAACTGGCGCACAGAGCTGGGATCGAACCCGCGCCTCTCTGCGCCAATCCTGGTACTCTGAACTGTAACCACTGGGCCAAGTTCAACCCCTTTTCTTGAATGTCTTTAGCATGGGAAAAGTAAGCAGTTGTAAATATCTTGACCTCAATCCTATAAGGCAGAATGTGTTGTAAATAAATAAATTTAAAATATGCATAGCAATTTGACAATTTACCAGCATCTATGATCTATTCAGGCTTCCTCAGACGATGGGTCAACCAAGAAGGATGATGGCTCCAAACAGGTTGATACCTCCAGTCCAGATTCAGCCTCCATCGGATCTGCTTCCTCTGAGCCCAGCCCTGCTCCACAGTCAGGCTACCTGAGCAAAGCTGTGTGTGGTCTGGCATCTGGAATATATTCTGTTGGTAAGCTTACAGCTGTGATATGGCTCAAGGTATGCTTTGATATGGCTCAAGTTATGCTTTGATATGGCTCAAGTTATGCTTTGATATGGCTCAAGTTATGCTTTGATATGGCTCAAGTTATGCTTTGATATGGTTCAAGTTATGCTTTGATATGGCTCAAGACTCAAGTTATACTTTGATATGGCTCAAGTTATGCTTGGATATGGCTCAAGTTATGCTTTGATATGGCTCAAGGTATGCTTTGATATGGCTCAAGTTATGCTTTAATATGGCTCAAGTTATGCTTTGATATGGCTCAAGTTATGCTGTGATATGGCTCAAGTTATGCTTTGATATGGCTCAAGTTATGCTTGGATATGGCTCAAGTTATGCTTGGATATGGCTCAAGTTATGCTTGGATATGGTTTAAGTTATGCTTTGATATTTCTCTGATCCATTAAAAATTTATTCTATTGATAATAATCATTGTAATTTGCTTAATTTCGTAGTTTGAACAATTGCAGAATTTAATTTTTAGATATACATTTGTACTGACTGTAATTTTAATAATTTTCTTTTGATCAGTCATTCAATCAAAGGTGGGAATATATTGGCCAATTCTATCTGTATTTGATCACCATGCTTAATTGTATTGGTTTATGTAGTTTGTCTTGAATATTTATTCATTTACATTAAGTTCCAAACTTTATTTTGTACAAAGTTTTTCTTAGAAATATCTTTAGAATTTGCACTCTAACCATTCATACTGCAATTGAAAGGTAATGGAGGATTTTAAGAAGCTCCTTTCATTGTAATTTTTTCTTGCTTAGATGTCGAATCTTGCTCAATTCTAAAATTGCTATGCTCTTGTCAATCAGAGTTTCCATCTTACATCTGAAAGAAAACATGGTCTGAAATGAAATTCAACTGTTGGGAAGCTGATGACCCTATACTTTAGCCAAAAAATGTTTTTATTAAAATATTTGGTTACCAACCCAGTTCAGAATTAAAATAGTCAGTTACCCTCCCTGTTCAGAATTAAAATAGTCAGTTACCATCCCTGTTCAGAATTAAAATAGTCTGTTACCATCCCTGTTCAGCATTAAAATAGTCAGTTACCATCCCTGTTCAGAATTGAATAATGTTGTTGCTCGTGGTTTTAGCTGACATCCAATTGTTATATCTAAGTGACTGTTGGTGTCTACAGGCTCGGGCAGCGTGGGTGCTGGAGTGTCTGGAGCAAAATGGATTGCTGGTACCACTTACTCAGTGAGTTCAGGCGTGGTGAACGGGGCGGGGTCTGTTATTGGTGCTGTCGCTTCAGGAGCATCCAGTGTTGTCTCTAAAGCCACCACCGCCAAGTCAAAAGAACATCGAGACTGATGCACCAGAAAATATTTGGATTCAATCTGAAGAAAGATTGGCAAATATTGTGATGTTGCTGAAAGATCTTCAATTTTAATGCTGACATAATGAGTGTTTGTGCTATCAAAAATTCTTCTGTAAGGCAACGTGCATTTCAGATTTTAACTCCTTAGCAATGGATTTTCCACAATTAATGAGGCGAATTTATGTTAATTCCAACTTATCATCTTAGCTATGGACGATATTATTTCTGTCATTATATTATTATAACTTGCATAGCTAGGTTGATTACGTTAAATTACAAGAATTCCCTTAAAAAAAACTTTGCGCAATAACAATGCAAATCATTTCTGTAACGTTAATTTTACGCCATTGTTGTTGCCTGTGTGATTAAAGGATTACTTTCCTACAATGTCGTAATATACGAAGCATTGCACCACGAAGTACTTAATCCAGCATACTGGAAACTATAAATTTCGGCCAAACCTGCGAGCTAGTGACGACTCGTTATTACACGTTTTAAAGGCACTCTTCTGTCTTGTGTTATCATCGTGAATCTCAATTATAAATCAATGCTCGTTTCTTAGAATAGTAAATAAGTCATCTTCTCTTCCATCTGATATTAGATAATTATTGATACCTTTAATTTATCATAAATCAAAAATTACTGTGGTTTTCACGTCATTTTACTCACCAATACTTTGGTAATTTTCCATTTGTCCAGATCTGAAGACTCGATTTCTTATGCACATCTGCTCCAATATCAGGATTATATCAGAATTTGTCCGGATTGTCAGCTGGGCATATGTGTTAATCTGTTGAGGCATTGAACCTAAACGGTGTTATGGGAAATATCCATCCGAGTCCTAGAGGGGATACTGCTGCATTTGTACGCGACTAAAACTAAGTTGTTTTTCGTTTTCTGTAATTTAAGAGGTAATTTACTGTAGTGAAGACGAGTTGAGCTCATTACTCATAGGATATTTTAAGAGAATAAGTCTTCTTCATATCCTTACTTACAAAACTGAGTGAATTAGGTAGCTAAAGAATATATTTTTATCAAGCTGTATTTTTGTAATAAATTTTAGGAATTTGTATACTGTAGCTTATTTTTATATTGTTTTTCATGTTTTCGTGTGTTTTGTCGTAAGTAGGCTAAGATAAAGTCTGAGACGTGCGGGAGCAAACGTTGATATGCATACAGCTTCCCTGAAAGCTAAACAGTATTTTAAAGAAATTCAAAATGGTATGATATTCTCTCCTCTTCTAAAATTAAATGTATTGATTTAGGTTGAAATATAACTACTATACTGATGTTACGCAACACACTTTGTCCCTATTCACAGCCTTTGTACTGGGCAAATGATTATGTTGATTTCGTTGAAAATCGGTTTACTCGAAGTTCATTCAACATCTGATATCTGCCAAATAGCCATTTCTTTTTTGGGCATTATCGTTCAGTCTACGATGCTGATTTTCTGTAAACTTCTTATTTGCAGCCTTATAAATGTACATGAGAAATCATCGATTTATAAATCAAGCCAGAAATTCACAATTAGTTTTCATTCTTGATTTTAATATTTTATTATTTTAGCATAACCTTTATTTGTAATAACTGCATGCTGGACCTTACATTTGTTCGCTCCTTCAGGAAGCTGGAAAATTCACCCAAGACGACGAAATAATGTCGACCTTCATTGGAAAAATGGATGATTCGTGGTAATGTGTCTCTTTTTCGGCGTTTCAAATTTTGAAATGAATCTGTAGCATTATTTTGTGCATGCGTGTTTTTATATCGATAATTTATATAGTGATCCTGCTAAGTGTTTACTTTACTCTATTTAAATAGGATTATTTGTAAAGATAAAATTGTTTGCGGCATTTCTTCCTCATAAATGTGTTGAATCACTGTTGAGTTTACCGAAATAAGAGCTGTGTGTTGAGGATTCGATTATTGTCTAACCTGTGCAAATTTTTATCAAAATCGGGCAATTTGTACATTGGTAAAGAAGAGCTAAATTGGAGCAGTGAGTTGTCGGTTCGAGATCCAGATAAGTACAGAATTCTACAAAGAACTCGTGGATTTGATAGTTTCTAACACCGTTCGTAATACAGAACAGTTAGCTCGGCGTTAGCATCAATTTACTGAGAAGTTGTATGGAAAGAATGTCATATTTGCCCTCGTTATCTCTTTTGTAGTATTCTTGACAATTATCGAATCTAATGGTTACAATATGTTTTAATATATAATGTTGTTATCTGCGGTAATGAGCCAATAGTAAAAAAATGTTTTATTCTTCACGTATTTTCACATCTACGAATCTCTATGTATATGTGAAGCATTAATGCCTTGTAATACATTTATGAATGCAATAAAAATGTGTGGCCTCAAAAAATATGTCAGACTCCGTTGCTTGCAAGAAGTAGAGATTCGATTCAGAATAGTAAAGTATCAAGACCTTTTACATCCAGTCCAGAAGTCTGTTTTGCTCTGTTACTCTCGTTGTTCTTGTGAAAATTTTAGTTTTGATTGCTGTAGGCTTCAATGTTTGGATCATGAGTTACATAGGAGCTTTGAGTTTAAAGTGAATTCATTTCCTTTGGTTGAGTTGTTTTATGCTTTTCGAAAGAATTGCGTTGCAAATGAATCTAGTTACTGCCTAATTGTCCGGTGCCTTTGCTCTTGCGATCAAGAATTGGTTGCTAATGATTATTTTGTACCTATTAATATTTTTGTACTTAATATTATTCATTATTATTTATCTCTTTCTCTGAACTTAGCCATCTTATTCATGATACCGACAGCTGCACTTGACTTGGATAACTGGCGAACAACTTCTCGCTGAACAGGCTTGCTAACCATCAACTGGTTTCCATGTGTATGTCTTCCACTTAGCATTGATACGAGTACGTATATAATTGCATGGTTTTGCGACATTTATCTCCTCTGATTAGTACTTAAATTCTTGCTTATCTTGTACGGTAGGCAGCTCGATTACACCATAAAAACTAATGGTGCTTTACGTGTAATTGTTTCAATGACATTGTCAAATTGAAGCTTTCCACGCACCTGAGTCGTTTCATCTTTAATTTACGTTGTTATTATAAATGTTTGAACTTTCTACATCCTCCTGCCGTTCATTCAAATCTGTTATATGTCTCTTTGCTGTGAAGCCCGTTACCTTACTGAATGATTACTTCATTTCTTTTTAAAAAGCTGCTTAGCAATATAAATGATGGGACGATAATTTTTTTTGCTACCAAAGTCATAGTTGTGTGCGGGCTGATGAATGAACTTTGAATGAAGAATCGCGATGTAAACAATCGTCAAAAAATGCAATCAGTAGGAAAATGTCTAGTCATTAATGGCCAGATCACATGAAAGTGTTTTAAATGTCCAGTGTTACTTCTTGGTCCTGTTATTTTTTTATCTATTTCATCGTTGAATTTTATTCACCCTGGTTCAGAGTGCGATGTTGTTTTGATCCACTTGTTTTAACCTTAGCGTACCGCAGGCCGCGACTGAGAATCTGTAGTTGTCTTTGATTCTCTTATTTAAAAGTGCCATCCTAGTGAGCGTCACTAGGATGTCGCTGCCGCGTGCTCATTGCAAGAGTAGTTGGCACTTGTTGATCCGTTTTTCTCACAATTCATTTCATCTTTCATGTGTGCAAGAACTAAGAACTCGACATCAACGGAGAATTTGATTTAGTAATCAGGTAATTTGTTGCTGATGTTCCTCAGCTTCCAAGCTCCGAGAAAAAATGCATAATCTCGTTTCCTGCTCAATCGTGTGCCACAAGCAGCAATATTGATTTTTTTAGCGATCACAGACTTCATCTGAACGTCTAGGGTAGCAGGCCGGGTAAGTGATATCTTTCTTTTTGACGCTGATTTTGAATTGCATTTATATTGCCTTTCAACATTTCATGGTGCTCCAAGAATTAGTGCAGTCGCCCGAAAAAAATCGTTCAATGTCTCGTCTCTGCAGTTTCATCCTTTGAATATTGTTACTTATCAACATAGTTGTTGGTTTAATTTGTCAGTGAATTTATCAATTAGTCGGCTTAGCAAGTTGACAGCAATTTTCATCAATAAATTTGTTGACCTCGAGTGTGGAAACGAGTTCTTTCATTTCTCTTTTTTTTTTACTCTAAAGGTTTTATGGATAACGAACAACGTTAAATTTCAAAAACTAGTTTATTACGACCAGTTAGCGTTGATATTTTTTAATTAGGTCATGCCTCACAATCTGTCTACTTGTTACCATTTTTCTCTAATAGCAGAGTCATTGATTACACTGGAATGGAGAGTAACTTTTCGACGGTTCTGGAAAAATATTTACTGTGAATAATGGAGTTCCAAAAATAGTACTTTCTTTGCTTGAGCACAAATAGGCTAAAAATACATTCCAATCCAATATTCCAAGTTCTTGTCAACATAAAAAGTGTGTAAAAGTATACCAAAATCCATCAAAACGCAATTCCAGCATGCATCACACCTCTAATTCTTTTAGAAATTAATAAATTAACTAAATGTACAATAATCAGGTCCCTTGTGGGGTGACACACCAAAACTGTGCAAGAAAACAAATGTGACACCTCAATCAGAAATATTTAGTAGACAACAGGTAACTTCAACATTAAAAGAGCAACATCCCAAACTGAAAATACACGCCATGTTAAGCCGTGCCGTCATTCACTCTGCACGAATTAATCATCTTTACAGTTACTCTACACTTAAAGCTCTCTTTCCTGCTCGCGCTTGGAGCAGGAGTTCTGGATCGTTGACTGCCCGCTGTGTGATGTCCGTGCAGACAGTTCCTTCCGTAACTTTGGTAATTCGATCACATATGAGATCAGTGGGTTCCTCCACTCCGTTGGTCAGAGGCTCAGAAGCTGTAGAGATGCTAGAGTCTGAGTCAGATGTATCTGAGTCGCCCAAATTTCGCTCCTGACGCCGTGAAACTTTGGCTTTGCCTCTTGAAGGTAATTGTTTGCCTCTGAAAAACATTATCAATTAAATTACAAATGAAAGTTTGCATTTTTAGTTTAATCATAAGGCCTGAGCAAAATGATATTTTTGGAGCATAAATAGAGATTCAGTGGAATATTTTTAACCTCTTGCCTCCACTTCTAAGTATTTTGGAACTTTAACGTTCTAAGTGGATCCAGCAAACGCCAAATATTCATTATCATAATAATTGTAAAGCTTTGAGAGTCCGACGAGTCCTCAAAATTATGGACAATACTTTGACGTTGCATGTAAGTGAAAAAATTATGCATGCCAAAAAAAAAACGATTCTGATTATTTCATTAAGTAAGTATTACTGAAATCGTCAAAGAAAACGGATGAAAGTACAAATCATATGTCAAAATACGGAGATCGAGAGAAAATACCGAGATATTGTCACCTCTTGGCAGGCGGACGAGGGGAGGAGAGCAAACGTCTGGCAGGCGCCTGGACCTCGCCAGGCCGGACGTTGTGTTGAGAAGGGGCCACGTACGCCTCCATCTCCTCGTGGTGTCGTACGCGGGACAACAATCTTAACGTCAGGCAGTCCATCGGCATCTCCCCAGGCTCAGTTAAAATGGGCTCCACGTTGTACGTGTTTGCCTGTCAAAAAAGAAGGGTTTAGTGACAGCTTCATAAACATCGCGTGCTAATAGTGCGCATTTTTAACTAAAATTAAATTGTAACCATGCAGCATTACGCCGTAGCAATCACTTTCAGCGTGCCGTCATGATACAAACCAATAAGAGCTTATATGGCCACAGAAATAAAATTACAAGAAAAATTAATAATTTGTTTATGCATGGGCTCACCAGCATAAGAGATGACAAGAACATTCTAGCAACTTCGTTTCTCTGCAATCCCGACACGATGTTCCTGAACGGCAGCACCTCACCCACATCGGACGTAAAACTCCGCAAAATCTGCAAGTCGAAATAAATCTTAAAAGAAGTTCTCAGGCAAACTAATGTACAATTTCAATAAACTTTGATAAAATATTCGATTCTTGGCTGACTTAGATATTATAGGCCTAACCTGACTTTTGATTTATAGTGTTTTTCAATTCTATTGCCAACTTGTCCGACCACCTGAATTGTCGGAAATCTGAATTCGCTATTAAATAAAGATTCATTTGTGGAGCAAACTGTTCAGAACATAAGAACACATTCTTCACACAAAGCTCACCGAATTTAATAATCAATGTGAATGCAACTTTTTTTGGTGCTTAGTGAATTAATTCTTTCCATTGGTGCATAATTAAATACAAGCAACATGAAAACAATATATTAAATTTTAGAGCAATAATAACCTTGTCACCGTAGGCATGAATGTCGAACGCTTGCCTTTCTTCTTCCAAAGCCAAAACAGGAGAAATTTTAGACCTCCATTTGCTCACACGTTTCACCAGTTCGCTCGACGCTATGCTGTCCTGCAAGGTTTATAACACGTAACAGTTGGGCAATTATGAATGAGGAAATCAAAAATAACTGTAATAATTGCAATAAAACCAAAGCATAGTTTAAAAATATACTAGATTATTCCACCAACACGTTGTGTCAGAAATTAAAAATGTATGATTGGAATTGATGGAACTATGACTAAAAATTATTCACAAGTGTAACGTTACAGTTGCTCTCTTGCGCCAACCTGATTAAGAATTCTTGCCTGAAAACCAAGCTATTACCAAGATCGTATAAAACAATATCTGGGCATTAACGATGCACTCAGCCATCTACTAAAGCTCTTACTAGGATCGCATCAAACAATACCAGGGCATTAACAATGTAACTCAGCCGGTCCTCCACTAAAGCTCTTATTATGATCGCATCAAACAATACCTCTGCATTAACGATGTAATTTAGGCAGCCATTAACTAAAGCTCTTACTAAGATCGCATCAAACACTACCTGGGCATTAACAATGTAACTCAGCCAGACACCCACTAAAGCTCTTACTAAGATCGCATCGAACAATACCTGGGCATTAACGATGTACTTTAGGCAGCCATTAACTAAAGCTCTTACTAAGATCGCATCGAACAATACATGGGTATTAACAATGTAACTCAGCCGGTCCTCCACTAAAGCTCTTACTAAGATCGCGTCAAACAATACCTGGGCATTAACAATGTAACTCAGCCAGACACCCACTAAAGCATTAACTAAGATCTCATCGAACAATACCTGGGCATTAACGATGTACTCAGCCACCCACTGCTGCACGAGTGCCTCGTACTCGCCGTCAGGCTCGTACTGCAGCGTGTCGTTGTGAGCAGCTGAGGGGTTCACCCTATCACGTCCAGACCGTCCGACGTCGTCATCGCCCAGCAAGCCAGTGTGTGGGTCGGGCAGGTCAAATGACAAATTAGGGACCATCTCTGCGTCGTCAACGTCTGCACAACAAATTTGCCTTCACTTACCAGGTACAATTTCGAAGCAACTATCCAAAAATCTCTGCACTCTATTTCAAGTATCTCCAACTTCGCTGATGTCTTCAAAGAAGACAAACTGATTTAAAATGAATAAAAACTTTGAAGGCAACAAACATTAACGCAGGATATCCTAAAGAAAATTGTTTACTTGGATGTATTCTTGATGAATGTCATTAGTCACAAACTCTGTTATGGTCCTATATTATTTAGGTGAACTAATAACTTTGAAATTATACATTGTATGAAACCTTAATTAAGATATGCAAAACGATAACAAAAAGCCTAAAGGATGAAAATTAATCACCAACAAATTAAAAAAATTACTTAAAAATATCAAATAAATAGACCAAGTTACATATACAAACTATAGGTAGTGATATACGTCGTAAAATAGATGAAATACTGTAATAGATACCAACAGATCAACGAGTACAAATAGGTTCATTAATTTGCCGCGTTTAGTTAAGTAATCAGGTTGATAAAGGGTAAATGTTGATTACACTGTCAAGCAAGTAAAGAATTGAATTTGCAACTTAATATCTATTAAAAAAATCACCCACCCAAAGCTGCATCGGCAGCAATATCATCATCATCGTCCAGACCAAAGGGCGCGTCGTGCTGCTGAAGATTGTCCGTCTCCGCAATCCTCTCGGGCGCGCCGTCTGGTGCTGCCGCGCATACGCGTCTTTGTCTCAACAGCTCAGCGCGGGTTTCTTCTTCTTGCAAAGCCTGGCAACATTAATGTAAGTTATACAAGGATCTGTTCACAAGTCACAAGGTCTGTAATGTGTGCGTTGGCGTTACATCATAAGAAACTGTTACGTGTTATATGCTAGTGTAAGGCTGGCAAGCCTTTGCCCGTCAGCAGTGTATCAGATTCCACTGGATACAGCTCCCAAGTCTTAAGTCTTGTCTTCCCAAGACCTAAGACTTAAGTCTTCCCAAGACTTAAGACTTTCTCAAGTCTTAAGTCCTCCACCTCAGCATGGTCTTAGAAGACATTTGACTGTCTAACTTAACAGGAACCTTACTCATCACTAAGTCAACCTGTATTGTATCTGGGATCGCAAATCTTGAAATCTATTGAATTAAAATAGGTCACACAAAACAAAAAAGAGAGTTAAAGAATCCAAACAAAAAATAAAGAACTGTATTTCATCGAGAGAAAATCTATATCAATACAAAAAACAATACTTACTTGGTCTCTCAGAGCAGGGTGAAGATCTGCTTTGCTAGTGGTATTATTGTTGTTAGCAAGATCGGGTAGGTGCTTCAGTAGGTGCTGGTCGATGGGTGGAGATTCATCAGTAGCTTTGCCAGAGATTTTATCGGCACATTTTTTGCGCTTCCGAATGTTGGCCTGGGAATAGATTATAGATCATAGCAGATCATTGATACATTCAGGACGCTACCCTACATGCAACAATATTGTTGAACTTTCATCAATAGAAAGTTCAATGGTTTGACAATTAAATATATACTCTCCATGAAGCTTACATAGCCGGTCTCAGATTATGCACTATTCTTAGAAAATTTACCAACAAAGTCACATTTTACCAACAAAGTGACGATTTACCAACAAAGTGACGATTTACCAACAAAGTGACGATTTACCAACAAAGTGACGATTTACCAACAAAGTGACGTTTACAAACAAAGCGACGTGCAATAAGTTATAAGGAATAAATAAGGATTTACAGGCGGAGTTTTGTGGCAGGAGCAGGGAGGAGGACGCCGAAGTCTGCCAGCTCTGACGGGGCGCGGTGAGAGTTTGGGTTCATGGCAGTCCAGGGGCTTCCATGGCTCGTGTAGCTTGAGTGGCAGTGCGACGATCTCCTCAGCAGCGGCACGCCGACGCATGCCCTGCCTGCACATACAAAACTTAATTAATTATAATAAACAGACAATTATAAATCATTTGGCTAAAAATGACTTCATAATGCTCGACCATTGACACAAAAATCAAGAATTGGCACAGCCAACAATTGGCATACATAATGTTGTACCACACAGAACATTTGGCGCAACTGGTGATTTGCACAACACCCGACATTTGGTGCCACTGGTGATGGGTACATTACACAACAATTTGCACACCTGACGCTGCACACCACATCACTAAACAATTAGCACACATAGATACCGATTGACACATCAACCAATCATCATCAAGTTCCATTAATCACGTGGAAACGACACTCATTGAATGGATGGTCCCCCAAACCTCCGCATCTCCAGGGGCGGTGCAGCGACTTCCACGGCAGGGAAGCCTTCAGCCTCAGGGAACACTGCAGCAGCGTCAGCAAACCCTGCATCGTCCTCCAATGGGCCGAGGTTCAATTCTGTTGCATGATCCTCTGCAATATTTCACATAAACGTCCATAAATTTATTTACAAGGGCAACAAAAACCAGCATGAAACGTTTCGTCCAGCAAAACTTTCACATGAACTTTGGGGAACTCATGTAGTCTATACAGTAATTCCATTTTTTTCTATTGTGTAGGCTTTTATATATTGGTATTGGCATTAAAACAGGTACTGAACATTTTCAAAGCTATATATGTAAGCAAAAATGTATTGAACAATGTAAAAGTGGCTAGAAGTCTAATTAACTACTGAATGGCGGCATGCCGGTGTCATCACATATTAAAAATCAACTACCCTGATCATTAGGAACATCAAAACAATAAAACTGGTTGATGATGAATTAATGACCTCACAGAATTATTATGAAAAAAATAAAGGGCACAAACCAATTACCAAGCAATGCTTCACAAGAACTCATAGCACAGAGCAAAGAACTCATGGCACAGAGCAAAGAACTCATGGCACAGAGCAAAGAACTCGTGGCACAGAGCAAAGAACTCATGGCACAGAGCAAAGAACTCATGGCAGACAAAACTGTATCAATGACAGGGCCAAGTAACTGATTTAATACATAAAAAATTATGCATCATCAGATTATTATGCATCAAAGAATTTGCAGCAGCTGATCACACATGCCAAAAGGTTGTATTTATGAGTTTTTGTATTTCAAAAATAATTTTGAAATAGCATCAAGACTTACCAAAAACAGGCAGAGGAGAGAGTTGCCCAGGAGAAAAACCATCATGATTGTCTTCTTCCAACTAATGAGAAAAGAAATAAATTTTATATTAATAAACTATATATGTGAATTTATACTAAAATACCACAAGCTTCCTATGCAATAAATTCTTCTGTTTAAAAACTGTGCACTACTATACCAACAGGATCTTTTATCTGTATAATTAACATCATTCCAGCTACTAACTACATAATTTGTTAACCAGTCAATGCTTTGTAAAATGATCAGTAACCAAAATTGTCTCCAAATAATCTAAAATATTTCTCCACTAAAATATTCATCAAAGGGATGTTATTAAAATGAGCAGCAGTTATCTCACACTTGATTAATTCTTTGAAAACCTAAAATTAACAATAAAATTGTTGAAAACTATGTTAATTCACTGAAAAATTTCCCAAAAAAACCCTCCAACACAAGTTTATTTTACAACCAAATAGAATATAAGATAAATCTTATATTGCACAGAATCTAATATTATGCACAGAATTTTTTCTTCTTCTGTCAAAAGTGTCTTTAAAATTATTTTAATTGAATACATAAGCAGCACATAACACAAGAGTGACAGTAAGAAGTAACACCCCCTTTGAATCTCCTATGCACAATTTTAGTTCCTTAGGAATGATAACATGCAAACTAATTAAAATAGCCAATAAAATAAATCAGTTGATTTAGAATATCATTTACACATGAAGCAGGTGATACACAGCACTCACTTCAGGATCTTCTCTAATTGGTGAAAGAGCGCAAGGTCCATCTTCAGCCGGCCCAAGCTCATCTTTCCGCTGCAGCAGCTCAGTTGGCAAGTCCAAACACATTAGGCCAGCAGGGGTCATATAAGATCTGTTTAGCCGGAAGTCATCTTTGCCACCAAAGGTTTCTCCATTGATCAGGTAGAGATTAATTTTGTTTTTGCACTTCTCACTTTCCTTTTCCACCAGATGCAAAGGAGTGGCAGGAAGAAATGAAAATGTTTTTTTATGACCAAACTCATCCAGATCAACTTCATCATCTTCTTTTATAGTTATGTTCCGTCCCATTCCTACATTATCTATGCGTTGAAAATCAACAGTTTGGTCATGAACTCCAGGCTTATTTTTGCCACTGCCACCAGCAGCTGCACCATCAGTTGCTTTGTCTCCATCGTGGGACTCAAATTTGCGTTTACTTGACAATAACTCAAGCATTTGAAGTGTCATTTGCCATAAAAACTCTACCTGAAAAATATCAAGGTTGAAATATTATTATATATGTTTTAGATCATTTTGAAAGTACAATTATCATCAGCACATTAAAAACATATGGGTATATATTTATTCAGAAGGTCATTCATCTTGTTGCTGTTAAAAAAAGCTATTAACACAAAAAAAAAAAACAATCTAAATAATAGTTGCATTTGTCACACATTGTATAACATCTGTTAAACAAAACTTATGGTGCTCACCTTTTTACTGTACACTGTTGCAGAGCCTTGTATTAGCATTGCAGCCTCAGCAAAGTTCATCACCGTTTCCCCGCCATCAAAAGTGATTTGGACCTCCAGAAGCTCCTCCAAATATTCTTCCAGATACTGCAAGCAAGAAATAAATAATTATATCGTACATGAACAAGTTATTCTGCTTTTAACATAAGAGCACACAACATTTTTCCATTAATATGACTATCATATTTCTCTACAAGCAATAAAACAGAAAAAATAGCTTACCTTTGCAATATCAACTTCCCAATTTTTAGTTAAATCTCTGATGGGATTAAGAAAAACTGCAAACCTGGCATCCAGGTCTTGAGTAGAGGGAAGAGGCATCCTCAAATAACTTAAATATTGCACCTGTAATAAAAAAAAAGAACTTAGTCATTCAAGTTAAATAATAAATCAGGTCAAAGACCCTGGAATTGGTGAAAGTGAAATGCATAAATTAGTCCTAATCAAGGCAACTAACTAAAATAAGCACATATTTTCTTTTCTCCTCTGGTGAGAAGTTACGAGTTTATGTTCTATGAATCTAAGTAATATCCCTGGAAATTCTGGATTTTATGACAAACATTTGGATTTTAAAAACACAGTCAAACATTTGGAAACAGTCATGATTAGAGAATTCAAGGATGGCCTGACGAATTTCAGTTTTAGCTCATGACTATCATACAAGGAAGTTAGGACTTATTAACGTAAATTTAAGATCAAACTACAAATTAGTAATATCTGTCCGATGAAAAACTCAAATTAGGGTAGTAGTTCATAGAAGCTACTACCCTAGGGGTTCTAGACATGCATCCACCCAAAAATGACAGGCTTTATGCATTGTCCTAGAAATTAGAATTCCAGCCTGCTCAGAAATCTTGAATGTTCATCCTGGATTCAAGCTCAAGAAGGAGGAGCAGGATCCAGAGTCAAGATTCAGCAATTGATGTCACATCTCACATACCAACAACCTGGCATGGAACACATCTACTGTGCCAGCTGTGACTAGAGCTTTGCTGATGCATTCAGAACTGCAAGATTCTTGCTAGAATAATCTAGATGAACTATCTCTTATCTTATTGTTGATAAAACTGAAATATTGTGCTGCAAGATTCAAAATGAATAAAAATTGGTCACTTTGGAGTCACAATATTTTATTCAAAAGTAGAAAAATTCCAATCTAGCTAACAACAGCCAACTCTCTCACCAGACAATAAAGTTTATATGGCATAGCATAGTGTCAGGTGTCAACTAGGCATCTATTATATTCATTATAATCATATTCTAAAATTAGATCTTCTGTAATTGAGACTAAATGTATATATTATCTATATATAATATAGTCTATATATCTTACCTATATATACATATGAGACTATATGTACATTAGATTATCTGTAATTGATACTGGCTGTCTAAGTTGGCCGGATGAGTGGACCAAGTATGGCAGACCCAGAGGACCAGCCTTGATTATGGTCTTGCCACTGGCTCTGCCTTCTGCTTAGACGATCATTTATGCAAGTTGAATGACTATAAATTTTGACCAGCATAACTAGACAGTTCTACTGAGCGGCGACTGTTAGATTTAAAGATTTCCAGCGTGTCCACGAGTACTGAGCTCCGATGTACTGCCTACCTAAGAAACATTTAACCTTCGTGCAGTCTAGAACTTTACCTGCATGTATTTGACTTTGTATTAAACAAGCGTCAGCAACCTGAAAGATTAGGCCCAGTCAAACTATATTGTATCCATCTCTGATCTCAGAGATCTCATTGAAAATTACCCAGCAATGATCTTGAAAATGGTTGGCGACGCTTTGGGCTTACAAACCCATATATTGGCGACGCTGCTTGCACCCTGGCATCTAGTGAATATATGGAATATACACTAGATGTGGTAGAGATTGGTGAAGAAATACATGACCTTAGTCTGCATAGACAACATCATGTGCCAGATCACACGAACAAGACTACAGTATATACTGGATCAAAGTCATAATTCTATAAAAGGGCTGGGAATTTAAGTAAAGCCTCCAGTAACTGACAAGCATGCCATCGTGTCACATTTGTCAAATTTACCTCAACCTTAGGTTGATGCCTATACCTGTATTGTATCTCTCATGTATAACCACTCCATATCAAGATAGTTTTCACCAACAGATAGTGTCTTGACTTATCCCTCTTCTTCAGTCAACAAATCCTTGTCCTCAGGTGCAAGAGAAATATTTAAGGGATTTGAGAAATATTAAGCGCTACCTGACATATTATTTAGTCAGGTAGCACTTAATATTGCTGCCTGACAATAGGTCAAGGGCACCAAAAAGACACCAAGGTATGATCAAGGCAGACCGCGCTGATGGCAGCTGCCAATTCAACTTCTCCATAGATTGTGATTTTTTATCAATATGGCCAATGCACAATGTTTGGCACAGATGTATGTACATTATGATTGTTACGGCCAATGCGCAATGATTGGAATGGACATTGGGCATTACCATCATTAAGGACATGAATGATAATTTGCAGTGACCCAGGCTGTAGAGTAGGGCTTTTCAGTTCAAGATATTGGCATCTTTTGAAATTCATCAGCCACCTCAACCTTGCCTCAGCGCCTCAACCCCCATCAGTGTCAGGATCTTCATCAGTCACATTGACCGTGCATTGGCAATTTTTGAGGATCATCATCAGCAGCAATGATCAGCCACCTTGACCTTTCTGTCCTTACATTGGCATCTTTTGAGGATCTTCATCAGCCATCCCATTTTGATCTTATAAGTTATATTGACATCCTGGTTGGGCCAATTGCCATGGTCTGGAAAGTGGAAGGTGTGGTTTGTTGTTGTTACTTGTTAGGATGTACACCAGTATGCCAGGGAAGAAAGTTGCCAGTATGCTTGTTAAAAAAATTGAAATGCAACTCTGAACTCTGACTGATGCCCAATGAAAGAATATTAAAAAAAAGTATTTATTCTGTCAATTGATTCATGCATTGTCTCTAACTTTACGCAAGTTTACAAGTGTGCAAAATTTACGATTGATTGGACAGGTAGAAGTGTGTTAAATATCAATTATATGATTTGTAGCAGACAGACAAAAAAAAAAAAGTGAAGTTGAAGAGAAGTGCTGTTATAAAAAATCTCTGGTTTGTTACTATTCTTGTATCCATGATACTTTGCTGATCTACTTATATTACAGGACTTAAAATTGAACTTGAGGAGAGTCTAAAAATCGCTCTGCTTTGCCACTAAAAAACTCTGCCACTGGCTAGGGTAAACGCGGTATATTCCGACATCGTGGGTAATTCCGACACTACTCAACTTTTTTCCTTTATATTAAGCTTTTTCTTAGTTCCATGCTTTTGTTAATGGTTGAAATAGTGACATCATACTTTTGCGCGCCATACTATTGCCATAACACTAAGTCTGGGCCGTCTGGTGGGAAAATCTTGAGATCCAAAGAGAGACAATGCGCATCACCCAGTGAGAACATCAAAAAATGTGTCAAAGTTGATAGTTGACCTTGCTCTACCAAATAATGATAAACTGTTTGTGTAGAAACTAGAAAGAATATATTTGTTTGAGACTTTTAAATATGCCTGTAAATATATTAGGAATCCTTTAAGTACCGTATACTTGTATTTGCTGATTTCAAGTGGTAAAAAAATTAATAAATGATTAAGTTAAGAAACAGTTTTAGACACATAAAAACTAATTCCGATACAGCTTGGAATTAGACAGACACAGCTCGTTCCAAGCTGTGTGCAAAAATTACAATTTTCTTAACCCTTTACGCCCTGAATTTCTGGGACAAAAATCGTAAAATTCACTTTTTCGGTTTTAAGTCTCACTTTGAAGCTGACATTCTGACCTATCCAATGGTACCAAAATCATCTCTGTACGTTGATTTATGCCATGACGACAGTTCGTGAAAGTGTTAGGGGTGGGGGAGTTCTTTCACATTTAATATAGGCGAAAATTATTGGTTGGGCACATAAATATGCAACCTGAAGACTAGTTACCCGGCTGCTGTCGTGTGGGATGGTGCTCATGCAGTTGTTCCCACTATCCTTGACTGAATTTCGGCTCCAGTAATGTCTAGTCTTGCATCCATGTCACCTTGAATGCCTATTTTGGGACTTAGTTGCGCTCTACTGAACATTCACACTTATTGTCACTGCAAACCTATTTCCTCCCAGAGTTTTTAAGCTACAGCAATGAGAAATAAACCGTTCGATTCGCAAGTAAAAGATCTAGAGATTGGTTGAAGCTTTTTTTCAATTTCGTTAAAGTTTTGAAAATATTTTGAAAAAAGGGGAGGGGAAATTCGAAAGGGTGGGGGAGAAATAATTTTTTTTTAAATGCCCACCCCACCCACAAAAATTAGAATTTCGAAAAACAGCAAGGACCAATGGATAGATATGGTCCTTACGCATCTAATGATATGCGTCTCAATGTTGTAGCTTGAAAATCATAGGAGATAGATTTCTACAGTACCCCCTTTTTGGCGGTTTTCTAAGAATTTCACATTTTCTTTCACTTTTTTCGAAAAATTCCTATGAACAAAAAAGTCTTAGATTTATCTTTTACATATGTGTACCAAGTTTCAAAATTATCTGTTAGTAAATAACCAAAATAGAATTTCCATAAGAAATTGGACATTGCCATTGGAAATTGGAAATTATATTTCGGTTATTTACTGACAGATAACTTTGAAACTTGGTACACATATGTAAAAAATAAATCTAAGACTTTTTTTAATCCTGTGAATTTTTCGAAAAAAATGACAGAAAGCGTGAAATTGTTGGAAAAGGTAGCTAGTCCCTGGTGTAACGAATTCGTCACGCCAGGGCATAAAGGGTTAATTAAAAGCTCAATAGCTCTTAATTAAAAGTGTAGTAAATATAGCTCATAAGTAGTGTTCAATATTCAATAGTGTTCTAATTCCAAGCTGTGTCATATTCCAATACAGCTCACACAGCAAATCGGAATTCGAACACAAGAGTGTCGGCATTATGAATTGGTAGAGTTTGAAGCGCGGCTGGAATTAGTCTCACAAAATGCCAAATTTAGTCACACACAGTGTCGGAATATATGGATTTGGTAGGTTTGCATTCTAAAGGCTTTTAACTAAATATGGCAACATTTTATGACGTTTCATTGTTGCTGGCGCGTAGTGCAGTGTTTTGAGAGTGATGTAAAGCAAACAGAACTTGAGTTGCACATATGGTGTATTTTTTAGAGCCATTCATTTTTTGCTACGTCCTTAAAGTGTTGGAATATACCACGTTTACCCTAGTGCGGTGTTTTGAGAGTGATGTAAAGCAAACAGAACTCGAGTTGCGTGTACGGTGTATTTTTAGCCATTTATTTTTTGCTATGTCCTTAAAGTGTCAGAATATACCACATTTACAGGTTACCCTACCTAACATTCCTAACATTGCTAATAACAGTGACACAGTTCAACACTCAATAGGGTAAACGCGGTATATTCCGACATCGTGGGTAATTCCGAGTTCTGACACCTCTCTAGTTTTTCCTTTATATTAAGCTTTGTTTTAGTTCCATGCATTTGTTGATGGTTGTCTATTGGTTGAAATAGCGACGTCATACATTTGCGTGACAAACTACTGCCAAAATACTAGGTCTGGGCCATCTAGCAGGAAAATGTTGAAATCCAAAGAGAGACGGTGCATGCCACC